TGAGAAAGGGGGCCGGGGCCTGTAGCAGTAGCTTTAGCCGGTCTGTCAGTCTGTCTGACTGACTGTCTGACTGACCGGCCGGCTGTCAGTGTGGGACGCACGTTCTCTGACAACTGAGAAGGCAGCAACACGGGGCAGGAGGGGGGAGGACGCAGGGCAACTCGGCTTTGACAAAATAAGTTGTCTACAACGTTAAGTTACTACTTCACAGCATTGTCCATAGAGTTGGGCTAGCAGCACAAAGTCAGTTTTCCTCCTTACCTTAGCTTTACCGGCCTCCAGCTTCTTTTGCCTCTCCTCGTCCTCCATCACTGTAGTTCCTGTAGCGAAAACAAAGAGGAAGCGGCTTCATACAAATCACCAGTGGAATATTGTCTAAGTTAAACTTGACCGTTCCGGTCGCTGTCACAGTCTTCTAAATGTTTTTCTTTGCCCCTAAGTGCTGTCTCCTCACTGATAGTAGTCGGCCGCCATGTTTTCCACGTAAACATGACACCCGTCTACGATGACGTCGAGGAAGCAGCCGTACGGCCACGCCCACAAACATTCCTCGAGTGTTGCGTTCAAGTGAAAACGGAATTGTTGTTATATCTTAGCAATGGGAACCATGTATTTTTGCTTTATTTTTGGTTATTTGGTTATATATGTATTTTTGCTTTATTTTTGGTTATTGGAAAATATATACCTGTGATGCTTGTTATGCAGAAATAGCTATGAAAAACAGACCATAACAAAAAGATAGTAAAGAAATATCGTATACATTTTCAAAACAACTATATTGAATACAAAATGTTGCAAAAATAAATAGAACATTCATTTAAATTTCTCCTCAAAAAATTAAGAGCAAGAACAAATAATCGTTAGAAAACGTATTACACTGAAAAGTTGAGAGTATTTAGAATATAGTCAGAACATTTATAAGTTAGAATAAAAAGGCAAAAAGCAAAACAAAATTAAAACAAACAAAAAACATATCAGTAAAGATAGCAAGGGAAGAGTTTGAAGTTACCATGTCATTCAAGTCAAAATGTCTTGAAATTATATGACAAAAGTACCTCCTAGTTCAATGTCATTGGTCTCAAATCTATCATCTTCCTTGGTAATCGTTAGTCAAGTGGGGAAATATTCAAATGCTTTCATGTTGTGGTTGGTGTACTAAAAACTACTCTAATTTCAGACAGCTTAGTTTAGATGTGTTTGTTATTTTTATTTTATTTCAATACATAACATTTGAGCTGCTTCACTTGGATGAGACAGGTAACATGAGATAGAGGCAGCAGTTTCTAGGACAGATGGAAAGTGATAAAGGGAAGAGTGGTCAATATTTTACCTGCAGTATCCATAAATAATTACGTTAATTAAGTACTAATTATCAGAGCAGGATATACAAATGTGAAACTGTTTACTCAGTAAGTGGTTGTTTTACTAGAGTGCCTGTGTCATGCCTTTCAAAATTCAGTGTCAACTTGACAATTCTTTACAATGAAAATGTTGTTGGAAATCTATTATCATTAAGAGTTTCCAGATGCTTTCAGAATAGAACTATAACATTGCTTAATCACAATCACAAAATTACCTTGAACCTTGAAAAATATATTCTTATATATTAGTATTAGTATTTCACATTCTACAATGAAAAATAAACAATAATCAACAATAAGTTAACACATATTTTGGATTTTAAATTTTCCTTGAAGGTTGTTGAGTCTCATCACAGGTGCAAAAACAAACACACAACAACAGTTCTAAACCAGGCAAGTCACACACCTGGGAATGACGATCATGAATAAATAAATGGAAAATAACTACCGTCTTGATATATTCTAGTTAAGAAAACATGTGAAAAAACACAATACATTTTAGGCTTACTTTAGAATTCTAAAATGTTGTCAATCAATATTGTTGGCTAAAGACATACCAGTGGCTGCAGCTGCAGGAGAGGATGCTCTGTGCCTCCGGCTGACAGGAGCTGAGCAGCTTATCGTCTGGCAGATCTTGAATTCCACCCATCTTCTTTTAGACATTCTTACCAAATTGATCCCACCTGTGAGCACTGGCTGCTGGTACCACAGCGGCAGCACAGTCAGTGGGAAGCATTTGAAAGTTTCGTCACTTTGTAAATTATTTAATCACTCAAGGAGTCCTGTGTCAGCAGTTACCCAAGCAACTTTACCAGGAAAGAAGACCACAACAAATGGACCAGGACCAGGAGTTCTATTTAATATTAAAAACACAACAAAACTAAGGGTCATATAAAGTAAAATAAAAAAACATTTGCAATTATCTTTTGGTATTTTTTTTAATCTAAATAACATCAATTTATACATGAAATAGACATATACATGACAACAAACTGTAAAAACCTTCAGATGCTGCATGATTTTTAAATTTTGTGCAGCCTGTCATGAAGCAGCTCTGACTAACAATCAGGACACAGCCCCTCATTGTTACAGCAAGTGAGTGAAAGATCATTTGCATGATAATGATATCACTGCTCTGTATTAATATATTCATAAGTGGTGGGACTCATCACTGAAGAAACACATAAGCACACTACACAATATGTCGCTCTATTAAAAACTTTGGCTTTTATTTTGAATTTCCTTTGATTTAATTATCATTTTATTTTAACTATAATACAGTAACTCTTGCTTGTGGAATCAAATGTTCATTGTTCTAATACATATATCTATTTTATGAACCATCTTGGTATGTAGAGATTAATCTCATGAATTCTTGGACACGTAACTAAATAATTTAAACAATTAATTTTAAATCGTCAATTTCGTCTATAGTTTGCTTAATGTGCTGCATGGTTTTCTTCCATCAAGTTCAACACCCTAGTTTCTTTCAGTTATTCTAAGCATAGTTTTTTCCAAATGTGGACTTTGCTGCCATCTTGTGGGCACTTACACTACGTGAGATTCTGTCACCTTTGCCACATGGAAAGAAATATAGAGGTCCCCATAATTACTTCTTTTAACAATTCTGGCACTAGAGTATTGTGATGTTTGGCGGTGGTTTTCTTCCTTCCATCGAGCTAGTTTTTCCATGCATTTGTGGTAATAAAAACTGCAGTAAATGCACGACTATGTCCCATTTGTGAGAAACAGAGACTGTCAAAATAATCCTTAAAATAAAATGACAATTCCAGTTAAGCTGTAGATACTGTAGATGATGATTGAAGGATGTATGAATGGATGGATGAATAGACATAGGTAAAGAAACAGCAGTTCCCCTTAAAATAAAATGACAATTCCAGTTAGGCTGTAGATACTGTAGATGATGATTGATGGATGTATGAATGGATGAATAGACATAGGTAAAGAAAAAGCAGTTCTCTGCTTCTTTAGAATAAAATGAATGATATATGGGAGTTTCAAAACAGTTTACAATCCATCCCTGTTATTATTACATCACAGCAGCTTATGCTAAATAAACACTGCGATTAAATCCTCACATGACGGATCATTGGAATCAGAGTAGTGTAAAGCTGCCTTTGGCTTTCATGTGTCTGCCAGCTGCTGCTCCTGTGTACTTCTTATATCATGGATGACCAGTGCCCTAGATCAAGAAATTCATCATTTATTAATATAAGTACATAAGTATTTATTATAGGAAAATAAAGTGTGGTTGAGAAAATAGAATAGAAAAGAGATGGGTTTTTCATCCAATTGTCAATAATCTATTAGAAAATAGAGATAAAACAATTGCAATGCAAAAAGTTCATAAGGATTATTGTAATGTAAAGAAAGAAAACTTAAATAAATATAAAGACAATGTTTTGCAGCAACTGCTGGTTGAATAAATAAAAGCTGTCCAGGAATATTTTCAGCTCAGTCTTCTGTAGGAGGCTGATCGCTGGGTCGGCGCAAAACCCGGCCCAGTCTGTCCACAGCCACACTCTCGAAGGCTCTTCTCATCAGAGGGTACTCTTCCAGGACCTCGTTGAAACTGTCCACACTCAGGGAGTAGAGGCGACAGTAGGTGTCCGCCATCACGCTGGCTGTGCGACGACCCTGGGTTAGCAGGCAAATCTCTGAAAAAAGGCATAGCAGAGTTTGATCAGTGAAGCAAAGCATAGGAAGATAGACACTGCTAATCTGAGATAAAAAAAAAATTAACAAAATTCACATTCTGTCTGACCAGTATAGATAATAGATTTGTCAACAATCCACGTTTACCCCCAAAATAGGCTCCATCGTTGAGTTTGGTCTGTTTATTTCCCCGTGACAGGACACTGACAGCACCGTGTTGGATGAAGTACATTTTCCGGCCAAGAGTTCCTTCTCTTATGATAAAGTCTCCAGGCTGGAAAACCTCAAAACGCAGCTTGGTGAGGATCACTGTCACAAAATGAGGGTCAGTGTTTGCAAACAGGGGCATGTTGGCCACAAGTCCACGACAGTTGTAACTGACTATCTCCTGCAGGAGAAGGTGGGACAAAATGGAAGCTATTCAGAAATTGTCATTCAAAAAAAAAAAACATATTTCATGTCTTAATGCAAACATTTTACAATGTTTTATTTTGGTTAATTAATTTGACGAATAAAGAATATGTCTGTGCATTGATTATTACCGTTAAATATGACATTGAGTGAATAACCGACCTCTTTGAGTGGATCACTGAGCTCTCCCAGGATGCTGTCCTCATCAAACATCTTCCCCTGGAATCTCTGCTCGTAATAATCATGGATCCTCTGTCGTACGTCGGCTGGCAGTTTGTGGAACGACATGTACTGCTCCACCTGCTTGTACTTGACAACAATCATATTAAACATGTTAATGGAATTTCAAAGACCTGATGCCAGATGTCACCTCTACTAAGAGTTTGTACTGAACATCAATCTTAAACAAATGTCCTCCCTTTAATCAGTCATTTGTTCTGCTTAATTTGAGCAAGGACAGCAGGGGTCGTTACCTTCTCCTGATACTGTCGATGTGACGCGTCCAAAGACTGGACCAGGTTAGCTGCATGGCCGAGGAACATGGCGTAGCAGGTGGCCCCTACGACCATACTGATCATGGTGAGCCACACGTCACTCATGCTCTCTGGAGGGTTGGCACCGTAACCTATACACAGCATGTGGCTCATGGCCATGAACAAGGCGTAGGAGTACTGGATGTGCCACGTTGCGTTCTAGAGAAGATGTTAGGACAAGGTAATGTTGTATTAAGGAAAATCAAAGTGTGTTTCAGGTACTAGTTTGGAACATGGATGGATTCTGTGAACCTTTCTAGTTGTGTAGTATGTACTAGTTTGGAACATGGATGGATTCTAGTTGTGTAGTAGAATTTTCAAGGTAGTTTTATCAATTGATTTTTTTGTATATCAGTTAACTTTTGATGTCCTGTTTTTGGATATTTTAAAATAACCTTTAGCCTAGTCCTACATCTAATTCATGATAAGAACAAATCAGCATCCTACATCTAATTCATGATAAGAACAATTAAGGGTTTAAAGTCAAAAACTCTTTCAGTATTCTGTATTGTCACCAGTGTTCTTCAAATATATATGTTAAGTATAATCTTTAGTGTATTTTGAAGTATTTCTGGACTCACCACCATGTTATTTTTGGCGACCCAGCAGTCTGGAGGAAAGTCCTGCAGCATGGGCACCATGAAGGTCAAGCAGCCGTCCCAGTGACACAGCAGCAACATCATGCCAATCAGGTTGAAAATACGCACGACTGCACTGGCAAGGTCATAGGTCATGTGGAATATCTGACAGATAAAAAGGGAAACGTGTATTACAGTTTTATGCATGTGACAATGTTAAATAATATTTTTCGTCATCTGTCAACCTTCACCTCTTCCCACTGATGGATATAGCGGATGAGGCGCGACAGTCGTAGAAGACGTAGCAGACTGAGGATCTTGGTGAAACGTACGATGCGTAGAGCTCTGGCAGTTCGATACACGTCGGAGGACTCATGCTGAGACTGCAGGTCAATGATCCGAAAGATATAGTCCACAGGGATGGAGGAGACACAGTCCACCACGAACCAGGTGCGCAGGTAATGGTTGCGGATCTCCTTGGGGTCCAGGATGATGTGGCTGTCCTCTCCCAGGATCCCAGTGCGAAAGTTGAAAACCAGGTCCATGAGGAAAAGAGTGTCAGACAGGACGTTGAAGGTGATCCATGGAGCAGTGTTCTGGTCCTCAAAGAAGGTGATGCCCCAGGGCAGCATCACCAGATTACTCATCATCAGCAGGAGCATCACTATGTCCCAGTAGAACCTGGACAGAACAGTGGGATTAAAGGGTCAGGCTTAACAAACAATGAACGTTTTTTGTGTTTGAGAAACTTTTGCTGACAAAGTGCAAACTGTCTCTACAGTCTGGAGACTTGAACAAAAACAACACCACAATACACATTTTATTACTTAAGACAGTTGACACAAATGTAGGGTCAGCGAACAGTGGCTGTGAAGGGATTCTAATTTAGACTGTAATTTCAAAATTGCAAATAAGGCAAAGTGAAGTCATCCGATCAGGCACTTTGTGGAATGACCCATTTGTGAGACCCTAGGTCTCATAAGAGCCACTGTCACAGGAAGAACCCTGTTCATTAAAAATACATGACACTTCCCTCCACAGGCTGATAAAGGTAGATGATGCAGACAGAAGAAAATACAAACAAACTTCACTGACCGTAGTTTGGTCTGACTTTGTCAGTGTGATCTGTGGCTGTGGACATCAGTCCACACCTACAGTACAGTGTATGCTGTGCATTATTGTTTGCATCATGTCATAAAACTCCAGTGGGTCGCCACTGTCTTGTCATGTACACGGTTTGGGTTACCTTACTGTATGTTTCCACTGAGTGTCAGTCACTCTTGGTCCTTGTCTTGCTCTGCTGCGTGTCTTATTACAGGTTTACAGTAACAGAATAGGAAACCAGACGATTCTTAATTATTGTCACAGCTCGGTGAGGAAACCACTGTTCTATTCAGTGGGACAGGGCGGACACACAGGGGAACAGATACGATCAGTTTCCCATTCATATTCACTTTTATCCCACCATCAATGCTTGGAACCCATGTTCTCTGTGTCTGCATGCTGGTTGACTAGACTACTTATCAACTCCCCTCATTACAACGGATTAGAGCCTCCACAATGCTCAATACCTGTCATAGTAGGTGTGCATGCTGTATGTGTGCATGTGCAGTGTGTTGAAGTGTGAGTAAGGCAGAAAGACTGCGTACCTTCTGCTGTAGTGGACGACTGTATATAATTTTAGATCAATTTTAATAACATAATAGAAGTTACCATTTCATTTAGTCAGTGACATGTATGACTATGAAGATGAATTGGATTGTACATGTATGACTATGAAGATGAATTGGAGTAATAAAGTGCTGATGTATTGCACTGTACTGATTTTTTATTTTCTTTCTCTTTAAAATTAAATTACTAAAGTCAAAGTATTCATATATAAAGCATGTAATATTTAAACCGCTTAGTATGAATGAAAGTGGGTTAGGATTGATTAAAAAACACATCTCAAAGAGGAGGTTGAAGCAGTGAGGTCCGTGGGCTGTTCAATAATAATCTTCCCTCAGTCTGTCATTATTGCATAATAGTGCAAGACTGGTTTCCTGATAGTCAATAATCCCTCTGCACATGTTTATCTTTGATATCAGACAACAGCAGCTATGATGAGAAGGATGGAGAACTTTAACAGTCACAGTGAGACCAAACTAGAGCAATTAAAGTAGCTTTCTATGATTACCATAAGTAATCACCAGCATGTGTTAGTCTCTAATCCAGATGACAGTCTCGTACAGTATGTATTGTATGACTAATCAAATCCCTTTATCGTCTGAGTGTCGATGCTGAGTTTTCAATGAAAGAGATGTTCCCATGTCAACTTTCTAAGGAAATAATACAAATCTTTCTTGTTTCCCAAAGAACCAATGAAACCAGCTGAACCCATTCACACGGTTACCTGAAGTCACTGTAGGGGTGGATTATCCACACTCCAAAGCTCTTGACCCTGGCCTGTTCAGCAGCAATACCTTTATGGCTGCCAAACATGCGCAGAGAGAACTTGTTGACTCTGGGCTGCAGGAAAGCGCGGAAATTCCTGCGGAAGAAGGTGGACCCGTCGTCTGTAAGATCATTGTTGCCTTCGTTAGCCTCCCCGTTGTTGTCCAGGAGGCCATCAGGGTCGGCGGTGTAGATGTCATTGTGATTCTTCACCAGAGAGAACAGTGTTTTGGTCACATCGCTCCTCTTGTCTGTCTTCGGTGATGGTGTATTTGGAGGCGGTGTTCTCTGGGAGCTACTTCTCCATTTGGAGAAGAGAAGGCCGTTCCAGCTGTGATACCTGTGGCTCTCTGGTTTGTGGTTTGGGTTCTCGCTGTTGCCTCTGTGGTCGTCCAGATTCTCAGAGATGTTGGTCATTTTAAAAGCTTGCATTTTGTCTAAAAAAACAAATTGTCTCAGAGACATTCAAAATAAGTACAAATTAACATTAATGTCTCAGAGTTTTACCGTAGTTTAAAAAAGCCTGGCATTACCCAAAAAAGTGCCAAAAACTCAGTTCCAACTTCTTCTCCAGTTCACTAACAATTTAAGTTATTTTTTTTTAAAAAAGTTACAAACACCAGTGAAAGCAAAACATACTTCTTTCCTGAGCTGAGTGAGAACCTTTGTGTCTGCCCACATCAGCAGACAGACAGAGTGAGCTGAGCGGCCTTCAGTAATCGGCTTGTACAACTCTGTCCACTCTCTTCTTCCTCCTCCCCCTCCTCCTTCTCTTCCTCCGGCTTCTCATCCTCCTGCTATGACAGGGCCATCCCTCCTTCCTCCCTTCCTTAATACAGAGGAACGGAGCAGTGATGCATTCACAGATCAGGTTGCACAGTAAGGTCACAGGGGCCAAAATTACATCAATTCCTCATTAGTGCATTATTTCTGTAAACTTTTTACACCTAAATTTAAAGTTAATTTGTAATTTTGCATATATATATGTGTGTGTGTGTGTGTGTGTGTGTGTACATACGCGTTTCTTTCTTTAGTCATCTATATATACAGATCAGATTACGGTAAGAAACACAGATTAATTCAAAGACTGGCTTTAATCTTAAGTAATCTTATGTCTTAAACAGGATAACAACTTGCACTTGTGGCAATAAATAAGACACTTGTGTTTACTATGTACTGAGTCTCTGTCAATGGTTTAACGATCTTGCACATCACCTAGAGAACCTTTTATCTAATCTTAAATACTAACCCAGTTAAATTGGACAAAGTGCAACTCATTTTCCTGCACACCAACAGTTTTGAATTTATTGGTCAATAATGAGCTACACCACAATCTTTCCTTATTACATTTTATGTTTTCTTTTGGGTGTTACTTTATAAACATAAATTATATTTGCTAACATTTTATTCTGTTTAGCCAATGTCTTAAATATATATATATATATATATATATATATATAAAAATCAAAATAATTCAGTAAAATACTTTAATGTCAATGACTTTATGCAACAAATACTAAGAACATTGTATGCTCCGGTAGCTGTATTGACAAAAACAAAAGATATTAACAAGTCAAGGAGTTGCAGAGATTTTTTTTATCCAGTTTTCATCGTTGTTGTCGTCACTGTGGGGCCTAACGTGGTTGTGGTGACTACAATGCCACATAATTTCCTACAACAAACAAACACACAATTGTTTATTCAGTTAAATTCTGTACTTCCAAATGGTGTATTTGTTGTACTGAAAAAAAAAGTTTCTTACTGAACAAATGGGTCATCGTTCACAAAACTACAAATTTGACTGTGATTCTTCAGCGTATCCTCAAGAGAAGCTATCTCCTTCTTCCAGGCCTCGGACTCTGATTGCATTTGAGCTTGATGACAGAAAGCAAATTATTTCAGCATACAAACAGCCTTTACTTATCTACTTGTTATTATTATTATTACCGTTAAAGTCCTCGTTTCCCTTCGTTTTTGCAGCCAACTCGTCATTTATTGTTTTCTGAAAATAAACGAGAAAATTCCGTAAATTAAAAGTGAGCCTCAGACACAAACATAGACCATTAACAAGAAATGGATAAACAGTAGGTCTCTGATTGTAAACTGTGCATTATATTATGTACATTATATATAACAAACACCTGAAACACAATAAGTCAGTGTCTCAATGTTTCCCTGCTCATAATAGAGCCACTAGGGGGCAGTTTAACACTCAAGGGATGCGGATGTAACCAATTTACATAGGAGTACAAGGTGATATTATCTCCTAAATAACTCATGTATTAGGATGTAAAAATTGCTGCTGTAGCAGTGGAAAAATATGGGTTTGTAAACCGAAACAGAAACGTCTTAATTAGTCTTAATCCTAATCATTTAAATAAAACAAACACATTTTTAATTCAACCATGACAGATCTTAGTTCCGTGGAAATAACCGTTTTTTTTTACAGGTATTTGTATCTATTACCGATCCCTTGAACTGTACATGACCCGAGTCATGCTAACTTATCCATTAAATACTTATACAGTAGGCTGTACAAAACTGACTGTGGATCCTATATATATAGTACTCATGTACTCTCAACCGAATAATCTAAGTCTTTACTGTCTTCACTGTTTGACGACTCATCGTTAATTCTGTCTGTAATTACTGAGAAATGTCACAGCACATGTTCTTCAGGATACATATTCTCACGTAGTGTTTCTTTGTTCATTGTACATATGCTGCTACTTTATACCCCTGTCCCTTGTAAATATCTCCTTTTTTTATATTCTTGCCATTTTGCACCGTGGGTCCGAGAGGGCTGCAATTTCATTGTGCCATTTTGTCCGGTTGTGTGGCATATTTGACAATAAAATTGACTTTGACTATAGCATAATTACACACATAAAACGTCAGAAGAGTTCACACTAGGATTGTGTGTGTGTGTGTGTCAGTGTCAAGGTTTTTTGACCCGGATCCTGCAGCACAGGAATCTGATTTGTTTAATGTAAATATACACCGAGGCGAATAAAACAGCAGGTTTTTGTTTATCGAAGTATTTGAATTTAACTAGTATTTGAATGCGCATGACAGATAAAGTACTTTGTAGATATTTTACTGTAGTTTAAAGAGCTTAATATATTGGATAATACTCGGGTTGCGGGTGAATGTCACCTGAGCAGCCTGACACTCCTCGACCTCCTTCTTATTTCTCTCGTCCTCTGAGTGGACTTGGGAAACCTCCTTCTCCAGGGACTGCACTGCCTTCGCCATCTCTGCGTCCTGTTTCCCGAGGGCGGACATGAGCAGCTCGTGGCTCTCCACCCGGTCTGACAACAAGCTCAGCTCCTGCTCCTTCCTCTGGATCAGCGTCTGCACCTTGGCCAGCTGCTGGTTCTGACCCACGATGACCACCATGGTCCCCATGGACAGTATGGCCGCCAGGAAGCAGAGGACCCAGTGTCCGCGCATTTTGACTCTTTGTCTGTGTTTGTACAAGGTGCTGTATGTGGGCGTTTCACCTGAATGACAGGTTTGACACCCTTCACCGCGTTAGCTTCGGCTTCACTACACACACACACAATAGGTGTCATGGGAAAACTACATTTGGAAGAAAAAAAGGAGAGTAAGAAGACGGACTTTTTACTTCCTGTTGCCGAGACCACCTGCCCTCTACTTCCTGTGAAGTGTTTAAATTAAATCCTGGACAATCGTCTGACGTTGCCTCTCGACCCATTAAATCGCACTGCTGTGTATATTTGTCTTGTTAATTATTTTGTCCACTAAATTGAATTTCATTGAATCAACACTTTCTTCCTTTTACTTTTTCCAGCCCTTTGTTTACTGAGGTTTAGAGCCCAATTATTTCATATTGACTCAGCTTATTGTGTAATTGTAAAATCCACACATGAGTTTGAACAACAGATCATTTCATGCCCCACCAGGCTTCCGTACATTAAAGGTACACTGTGTAAGTATTGAGAAAAATGCCATTAAAGAATATAAAACCTTGTTTCTGTTACTATTATTAAGATGTTCGTAAATGTCTGATGCGGTTTAAGGAATAGGATTTAGCAACATCTAGTGGTGAAGCGACATGTGTCATTTGAATATCCATCCAGTCAAAAATGACTGGTGTAAATCAGATTGATCCAAGTCAGGAGCTCTTGGTGTTAGTGAAAAAAGTTAATGCAATCAACAATTTATACTTTTATATAAATGTGTACAAATAACCACAGACATAAGAGAACATATTCAAAAGTTCTGAAAAGAAGGATTAAATCCGCCTTCATCTTACCAAAAGCTCTTCAAAGTTTAGTGCAGATTTACTGTTTTTAGGTGTTGATCCATACCCTTCAAAACAACAACCAGGTTTTCTCTTTCTCAGTTGTAAAAGCAGATGAAATTATCACACATTCACTGTGGTCAGACTGCATTCTTAAAGCTAAGATACTGTATAATCATTTTTCTTTTTTTTCCAATTTCCGCTCTCTCAACAGCATTGCCAAATTTGAACATATCATTTAGTAAATGTTTATTCATTTTTAACACTTTTTACATTATCCCACCCACTTATCTGCTGTTTATAATATGACTATATTTCCCCAAGAATTTAACAATGTAATTTAATTTCACATGTATTATTTTTGGTTAGTTTTTGCTCACCTCTTGTAAAAATATTTTTGGTGCACCTGTGGCTACTTGACTCAGAACTCTTACCTTTTTACCTTTGTGGACCACTTTTTATTCCATTCATTCCATTCATTAGCACTTCATTACTTTGTGGAACTTAAAGGTAAGTAAGTAAAAAAAAAACAAAGTACACAGTTCACACCCTAGTAAAACCAAACACTGAACAAACACTATATATATACTGTCATAATATTTAACTATAAACTTTAACACTAAGTTCATCCTGTTTCTAATGTAAACATAAAATTGCCTTTATCAGTAGCTGGTTCTTACAAGCACAGTGGAGACAACAGAAATAGGTTTGAGAAGTGTTTAAAGAATGGAAAACAACCACCAGTGATTCACCGGCAGTCTGACATGCAGAAGGTCAAAGCAACATTCTCAACCCATGTTTGGTGAAATCTAAAGCCTCCCTTCTCTGATAAGATGTAGCACGGTCAGACACTTTCTGAAACCAGAGCTGAGGGAGTTTACGGAAAAGTGTTGGGGTAAACAGATTTTTTTTTATGTGCATACTTGGCAGTGATAAAGTGTTCCTTCACTGGCCTTGGATTATTGTTTTTGACTCAGAACACAAAGACACTGAGAATGTGGAGTAACGGTGTTGAAAAACACCAAGCCAGCAAAATGTTTCCTGCACTTAATTGACATATTGTGACGTCAACTCACATATCATTTCTCCTCACCACTTCCACCTCCACTTCCAGGCATTTCACCCACCTCCCACCACCTTACCCCCCTCCACACACACACACTGTCTCTCTGCTGCCCAGATATAAGCAGGTTGATGGTTTGGCTGCAAAGTTAGTTGAAAAAGAAATCTTCAAAATTGTCATGACATTGACCATGACTTCAGCTGGAGGCCTTGTGGGATTCTTCATTATTGCAATACTTACTCTTCACAATGCCGGTTTGGGAGGTAATTATTTTAGATTTATTGAACAATTTCGAATACATTTTTGTATATTTTGCAAAACTGCTAACCCTTTGTGCTGCATCTATGTTGGATTTCCACAGACACCAATGTCATCTCTTTGAATGAACCAGATGTCCCTTTCCCACCTGCCTGTCCCACTGTTCACAACTTGGCTGCCATTTGCCACTCGGGTCATGGTCGACCCAGATACCCGCCTAACTTCTTCCCAGGCTCTAGATTCAGTCACTTTCGCCGCCGTGGAAGTGCCATCAACCGTTTGGAGTCATGGTTCAGTTTGTGCTGCAGTGGACAAGTGGCCCGGCAGAGTCACTTGATACTCTGCTGCACCCGTCAAGCTGTGAGTCTCTATTGTGTTTGTGTGGCAACCAAACGGGATAGGGGTGGCTTTTGCATTCATATTGACCAACAGGAATATATAAGGGAAATATTTATGCCTAAATTTCTAAAAAAAACAAAACAACAACAGCAACACTTGAATCTCTTTCTTGCAGTGGAAACAAGCTCTGTCTCAGTTCTGTGATGAAGAATATTCCACCATGACTCTGCCATACGAGTGCTGTGCAGAGAGAGGAGAAGCCCGGTGGATGTGCTTTGACAGTGAGCTGCCAAACCCAAACTACAGCGCAACACCAGACTACACGCCACCACAAGTTCCAGATGAGCCAGGATTTAGTTTTGATTCAAATGCTTGCTGAAGGAACAGCTCTTAACTCAGGCAGAAGAAACATAACAATCCCTGATGATTTTTAATGTACCTTTTGGCAGGTTTTGTCCCAACTGTTCATATTAAGGCAGCACATACAGTACAAGCTCATTATATAATCATAATAAAGTGTGCCATACTTTGCAGAAATGTTTTGTTTTCATTATATATGCCATATGATTTAAATGGGCTGAAAATGTTTATTTAGTTCTAGCTACATTAAAAGCTATGCTAAGTTGATACTAAAAAGCAATGTTGCAAACTTTCTGATTATAGTGGAAAATCATTGGTACTGAATTGCGTGCATCGTCATCCAAATTGATCAATACCGTGATCTATAACAACAATAACAACAACATTAATAATAATAATAATAATAATAATAATAATAATATAATTTGTTATGTTATATTACTATTTTTAATAACGACATTGATAATAAAACTGTCCGATAAAATAGGGGGTTCTTTTATTGTGAAGTTCACTTTTATTTCGAAGGCCAAAGTGAGCGGAAGTACTGTTTGTTATTTCCTATAACATCCCAACACCAAAGTGCCGCTTCCGCATAGCTTCCTTGTTTCTTCGTTTAAGGCAAAACTTTTATTTTTTAATGGCAAAGGTTTGAATGTTGTTCTCACTGAAACTGATAAAAGTCCTCAGTAAGTTTTCCGAGAAACTGTTCTCCTTATAAGCCCTGCTTTTGGTAAGTCTTCAACCGTATATTCTTTGTTTTGAGCCACAAAAGTCTTGAGTTCATCGCTGGCTGTACTCGCCCACCACTCGTTAAATGTCGTAATCCAGATACTGTTGGTAAAAAGTTGCAAGTTTCAACTTGCGGCGTTGCGCTGTTATTCGATTAAGTAACGCTTCATTGTTTACTGCACATACTCCACACAATCCACAATTCTCTTAAACTCCCCGACCTTAGTTACCAGGATCCGTCAGCGTGGCATAGTGTTGTCAATATTTGTGGGACCAGGACATCACTTAAAAGTTCAAGCTACTTTTTTGTCCTCACAGATCGCCCCAGAAACAACTTTTTTTCCTTCTTCGAATCGAATCAAAAATTGACAGCTTTGAATGGCCACAGCAGCAGAGGAGCCTCCTGGGCTACAGAGTCACACCGGCAGTAAGTACACTGTTATAAAAACAATAACATCACACCATATTATAATATAAAGATAATCTCGTCCATGTTCTCGTCTACCAGTTGATTTAGTTTGGAATCCGCCATGTCATTATTATGAGTACAGGTAACACATGTTTTTTTAGGGATGATGCTATTCTTTAATTTGCAATTTGATAGATGAAATACAAAGTGGAACAGTGGAAAATATTGATTTTTAGGTTTATATCTATACAACAATTTTTTACATCTATTGATTTTTAAGAATTGTAAAGAAAATACTGATGACCTACTTCATTAGGTTAAAATATCACCAGATTATTGTCACATTCCAGAGAGAAATATTCATATTCATAAAATTGACTCAAATCAATCAGTAGTTGATTAATTATGTATGATTCAACAAATAATTCATAATTAATATTATGCAGAGTTGGTGTTTTCCTAACAACTAGAAAACGTATTTGTATAAATTAATAATTGTAATTGTTTTAAGCTTTAAGCAAATTTTAGAACTTCACATCCTGACCACAGATGTTGTAAAACATCCTATTTTCTCTAGAGTGAAATATTCTTTGCAGCAACAGGAAGTCGGCATCTGTGTACTGTGTGCTCTGTGTTCAGGACAAACTATGTGTCAGGATTATACTCAATGGCATTTCAAAAACTCTAAACTGTGTAACTGTGAAGTATGTTGTTAGGTGTACTGTTGCACTTTTATTTACACAAGGAATGTTGCAAAAACAATGTGCTGGCTATCCCACCAAGACAAGTCCTGACCACTTGTTAAACAAAGGAAAAATGAGAAAAAACAAGCAGAGGTTGAGGTCACTGAAGAATATTCCACTATTTGCGTTCTGTACCTTTAAGATATGTTTTGTTCCACATCTTTAACAACATAATCCCTGCTGATGTGCCAATGATGTTTCTCCTCTGACAGTTTGTTTGTGTGAACAACAAGTCTCCTGTTAGCAAATAACATACATGAAAGTAAACTAAGAAGCAGGATGTCAACATGCACAACAGTTGTGTTGTTTATTCTATACACAGCTCTGGTTTCCCAGCAACATGATTATGTTCTAACAGCTCATTTACTGAGGTTAAAAGTCTGGTTAATTGTTGATTATCTAATATCTTTCATTGCATGCAAAGACCTGCAGGGTCATGTGTGGCAGAGATGTGATAATTAATGTGATTAATTTGAATTACTTTTCAGTGTTTCTTCCTCTCTCTTCAGATTCAGCTGGGCCTCGCAAAAATGCTAGTCCAGAGGTAAGAAATCAGTGAATTTGCCTTCAAACAAAATGAGCATCCGTTTCACATGTTTTCCCACACAGTGAAATATTTAGTTGACACATCATTATTTCCTTCCTCTTTAACACCTAACTCTGCAAACTTGTAATAAATCCTATTTCTCGTGTATTCTCCCTTCTGCTTTGTTTCTGCTGACAGGGTCCAAGCACAAGCATGACTCAGGCCATGAAAAAAACGATTGGACACAGAGGGATTGATCCCACTGGAGAGACCACGTACAAGAAGGTAGGAGATTAGCACATTATTGACATTCTATCACTTAATTCTAGCAAAATATCGTAAATGATCAAATCCATTGATGCTGTTTTAACAGGTAAAGATAAATACTTTACAAAAGAATCATTTGAAAATTATTTAATTTTGTTATTTCACAATTAATCACAATTAATTGCACTTGCATTATAATTTAGGATCTGAGATTAATTTGTTTTTGTTTATTAAATCCTTAAAATCTTACACGTCATAACAATAAACAATCACACTTATTATAATGTCCATCTTATATTACTGCCTCATGGACCCTTCCAACAACTGACCTATGAAATGTAATTTACCTTTGAAGCCTATGTCAAAAGTTTGTGACAAAAGTAGAACAAGATCAAAGGTGAGGTTGCGGTGACCAAATATTTGCAAATTGAAAAGTCCAGTTTGTACTAATTATTGAAAAAAAGCGATTTGTTAAAACATTATGGAAGCCTACTTTTGTAAAACATCCCAAACATTATATGTTATTATTATCATATTCAATTATTTCTAGTAAGTCAAAAGGAAAATAATGCAATAATGGATAGGTTATGCCCACAGGAGGCAGTAGTGCAACATTACAGATCACAACTGTCACCAACCAGTGATAAACATTAAAGGGCATTAAAAAAAAGATGATCAAAACTGCACAATGAAAAATGTATTTTCCCTCCTCTGGTCAAAAGACAACATCATCAGCTCTGAAAGGTGCCATCCAGTTGGGCATCACACACACCATCGGCAGCCTGAGCCAAAAACCTGAGAGGGACGTTCTGCTACATGACTTTGAAGTGGTGGAGAGTATCTTCTTCCCCAGGTGAGGAGGAGAAGCTGTGATGTTAGTGGTGTAAAGTGTGTGTGTGGTTCTTTGAGGTGAATTCTCCTGACTCTTGTGTGTTGTACCTGCAGTGAGGGCAGCAACTTGACCCCAGCTCACCACTATGGAGACTTCAGGTTTAAGACCTACGCCCCCATCGCCTTTCGTTACTTCAGGGAGTTGTTTGGAATCCGTCCTGATGACTATATGGTAGTTCTTCTTACTGCCTCTGTTACAGACCATACTCTCCCTACTCTCCCCCACCCCTAATGTCACTGTTCCATCGCCTCTGCTGTTGCTGTCTGTCTATTTCTGTCAGCTGTTTTACGAGAAATCAGTTTGCCAACATTCAACATAGCAAAATAAATCTAAAGGCATCTGGCTGTTGATTTTAAACCTTGACGTCCTACATCCCACATCTCATGTCCTGTGGTTTTCCTTCACCACAGTACTCTCTATGCAATGACCCTCTGATTGAGCTGTCAAACTCTGGTGCCAGTGGATCGCTCTTCTATCTGTCAAGTGACGACGAGTACATCATCAAGACAGTGCAGCACAAAGAGGCGGAGTTTCTGCAGAAACTGCTGCCAGGGTACTTCATGGTGAGTTCGAATGAGCGGTCCATGTCTTCAAATGGTAACAATCACTAGGATTATGTCGCTCGTCTACATAAATTGTATTTACAAATATTTTATATAATTGCAATATTCTCTTCTTCAGAACCTGAACCAGAACAGACGCACCTTACTACCAAAGTTTTATGGACTCTACTGCGTCCAAGCTGCAGGCAAAAACATCCGTATCGTAGTCATGAACAATTTGCTGCCAAGTTCAGTGCGAATGCATCTCAAGTTTGACCTTAAGGGCTCCACGTACAAGAGGCGTGCCTCCGCCAAGGAGAGGGATAAAGCTGTGCCCACATTCAAGGACCTGGACTTTATGCAAGACACGCCTGAAGGGCTGCTACTGGAGGGGGACAAATACAGTGCTGTTTGTAAGACCATTCAGAGAGACTGTCTGGTGAGAAATGTCGACCTATGAAGTAAATGCTGTTCTGAATACAACAAACATTTTATCACTAATTGTCACTGTTTTTTTTCATACAGGTCTTGCAAAGTTTTAAAATTATGGACTACAGTCTTCTGGTGGGAATCAACAATGTAGACCAGGCTTGTCAAGAGCAGCGGTTTGAGGAGGCGGGGGCAGCAGGAGCAGACCAGAGGAGGCCACAAGTTCAAAAGTCTCTGTACAGCACCGCATTAGAAGCCATTCAAGGAGACACAGGAAGCATGGGGTCGATGGATACAGAGGACAAGTGAGTGGCAGGTCTGTCTATGAATATAATGTTCACCAGGAACTAAGACATGAAGCTACATTATTATTGTTTTTTTTTCTTGATAGAACTGGAGGAATTCCAGCACGGAACTCCAAAGGCGAAAGACTACTGGTCTATATTGGGATCATTGACATTTTGCAGTCCTACAGGTAACAGAACAGATACTCTGTCATAACTACATGATAATCCACATGCTAATCTCTGACAGTGGTACAATAATAACACGAAACCAAATTACTGTTGGATTTTTTATCTGTAATTTACTTTTTGCTCACAATGTGTTCTCAGGTTGGCAAAGAAGCTGGAACACTCATGGAAATCTCTGGTTCACGATGGGGTTAAGTATATCCACCAACTTCCACAAGTGTAGAAAATTAATGAGTGATAATAAAAAGGTTCACCTTAAGAACTTTTTTAACCTTTTCTTTTCAGGACACAGTATCGGTTCACAGACCGGGTTTTTACGCAGATCGGTTTCAGAAGTTTATGTGCAACACAGTCTTCAGAAAGATCTCAGGTATCCTCAATTTCTTTGTACCACAGTGTTACAATGACAATAAAGACTATTCTGTTCTATGTAACCAATGTGTGACCAGCACCAGATTCACCTCTGTGAATGTTTAAGTACCAGTCGTATCTTTTGTTTCTAGTCCGACATTCACCGTCTAAGAAGCGTCGTGCAGTCACCCACGCTCCTCTGAGGAAACCAGCCGGATCTGGTCCTCCTTATTTCTCTCAAATAAGCAGCAGCAGCAGCCAGTATCCTGCTCTCCAACATCAAATCAGCACCGACACCAGAGATGACTCTGATGGAGATTTGGGTATGAACAGCAGAGAAAAGATCGCAGAGATGCTGTAACCTCAATCTCCAGTTTGTTTTTTATACCAATTTGTACCAATTGTTTCCCCTATTCTTGCTTCAGTCCTGCCGTCCGGTCGTCCTGACCTGCTCCCTAAAGCCATGCCCCCCAGCAACAATTTTGTCGACACTGTGGACACTGTTCCCCCCTCCAACTTCAGAAAACCTGTATTCTTCCCTGTGAGTCAACCTGTGGCTCACTCTCAGGACACACAAAAAACAGTGGTTGTGGATGTAAACAAAATGTTGAGTAAACACATGGAGTACAGTGCGTCCAAGAGGTAAGACAGGCAACAAGCTGCAGGATTCTGGGAAAGATTCTTCTGCTAAAAACCTTTTAGCTCATCAATGACACCTAATTTATGCAGAGGGTCAGGGTCAGGGTTGTAAATGATAATTTATCATGTATAACCGATTACCTGACGATAAAAGTAGTAAATAGGTATTGCTCAGTTATCACTTGATAAAATAGGACCTGATTACATAATTAGAGACAATTAGAAACATTGCCCTGCAATTGACTTTTAACATGTATTTGCTGGATTTAAACCAGGACATGTACTAAACCATTTGGTAAAAAAGGATGATTATGGTTTTAGGAGGGAAAAATGCAGATTGCTTTATGTGTTGACCAAACTTTACTTTTCTAACTTTTATGGGTTTTTTTTTCAGACCTCAGTTTGAGCCTTCTGAAGAATTCTTTGCTGCTGAAGGAGCAACTGGGACATAGTTTGCAAACATGAGCAAATATTTGTACTTGTACTTGTTCCACATTACTCAGTCAATACTTTTTTTTAATAATACTTCAGACAACACCAGGTTTGTTGATTCTGCTCCACAGGTACTAAAGCCTGAAGGAGGATGAGCCTCAAAAGAACTCATAACTGCCTTGGATTTTATGGCATGGATCAATGTTACAAACCAATTTCCTTATTGCTAAGAGCTACAACTGTTACATTGCCACAAGTCCAAATCGGATGTTTAACCTTTTTAATGGTTGTTTTTTGCACTTTTATAATTCAAATTTAAACATTTACAGTGTTTGAATCCATCCAGTAGAATAATACAGTACGATGTATTGATTAACATGAGAACTTTGCCATATTTTTGATCATATTTACCTGCCTATTACCAAGCCTTCACTCTTTACCACATCTGTGGTCAAATGTGTCTTACACCTAATGTGCCTTCTCTGAAACTTTACCCAAAGGGTGATGTTGGTCTGATGGCAAAGAAATTGCACAGTGAACGAGGAACACAATTTTATATCAAAAAAGTTTTATATTTTTCTGGATAAACCCTCTAAGTGTAAACTATGCTGGAAAGAGATTTTATTCTGAGTATGTTGATTCTAACAAACCTAAAACTGTGAATCCTAAAAGTCACTACTCATGTTTTTAAGGACTTTTCTAATTATTTTTTCAACGTGTACGAGAATTTCTTAAATACTAATGCGACCAACAAACTGTTTGTGAGAGGACAAAAGTAAAAAAAAAAAAAAGAAAGAAGCTACACTAATTATGGATCGAGCACATTGGATTCCACAATCATCGAGTTCTATGTTTGATATGTTTTTAAATGGATTTCAGTGTTCAGCTACTCGCCTGTGGAGATGGGAGGAACAATAAAAGGGACTGTTCACCACTTGAACAGATTTTAACCTTGATTTTAATTTTTATACTGGTGTCTAGTGTTTAATGCTCATCTCTGCAGCTTTGGTGACCAGTAAATAGTCAGAGAGGGGTAAAAACTGCTGCTTGCTCATACAACTGTCACAGTCAAAGACTGTGGATGGTGTTTGCTGGAGTATATTTAACCTTAAACCACATAAAATGCCCTGTGGTGGACTTTTCTGCAGTATAACAATACATTATCATTAATATAATGTCTTTAAGCTTTTGAAAGGGAGAGTTTACTTTTTAAAAAAACGTTTTTATTTAGCATGTGTTTCAACAAGAGTTTGTCTCCATTTATTTTCCACTATTTGCTGTGGCCCACTGTTAAAGTAGATTAAACTATGCATGTTACATTCCACTCTAATCTGTTTATTTACACATGATGATGACAACATTTTTCCTACACTGGTTGGTTATGATGTACTCCTCTTCCTGCTTCTTGTATTTAGGTGGTGCCTTTGTTTTTTCTATACTGTATGTGTATAATTTTTATATATCACTGACTGTTTCTCGATTTTCGCAACACTTCTTGATATTTTCACCTGCAATTAAAGCAATTAAAGTCACAGTTAAATGGAATGTGAGTGCTTTTATTTTAGCTTAGATGCTAAACAAAGATTCAATTTAAGTCTTCTATGGGTTTTATTGACAAATTTAGTGGGCATTTAAGTACCACCTTGGTTCTTTCATTTCTTTATATCTTTGTAAGTTTGTAAGTATAATGTGATATTTCTGGTTAATTATTAACATTTTAGGTTTTTTTTAAGCAAACAAGACAATGAAAATTAGTTTCTTTATGTGGCAGTAACGTAAGTATGCTAACAGCCGTTAAGACCTCGTTAGAAGTAATATCGATTCCGAGTCGGCCCAGCAGGTGGCAGTACTACGTCTAAAATGTTGTTTGTCAGAAAGCTACCGTCAATACCACAAACGAAGAAAAACAATAAGTTTCCAAGATGGTGCTCGAAAGTACTATGGTCTGGTAAGAGACGATTGAAACATGTTTATATACAACTGATGATATTTTGACAGTTTGCTAAAATAGGCGGTACGTAATAAATCGTACTTATGTAGTTCACTGACCAAAGTAAGTTGAAAATAACCGTATAACTGTGTCGATAATTAAGTGTTGACTGTTAGCCGGCTAACTGTTTCATCTGCGGGCTGAGTCATCCTGGCTCAGTGCAGTTCATCTCAAAGTGTCTTATTTGAGCAATTGTAATAATAAAACATGTTACATTATTGCTGTTTATATAAGTCACCTGTGTGACAACTGTTTACTGTCAAGTCTCTGTTTTTCACTATTTACAACAGCGACACATTGACAGGTCATCCTCGCTAATGTTAGCGAACAATGCTAAAGCTACGTGTTATTGTGTTGTTGTGTCATCAGGTCGTTGATAAAAGTATAAAGAGAAAAATGTTTATTTTCTTTCAAAGTTATTTGCCATCTCGAATGAAATCGGATTTGTAATATTAGCAGTACGTTTGAGTGGTCATACACATGCGTGACTGTTTAATTGAATGATTTTGCCTTCAGTGTGGACAACAGTGAATATATGAGAAATGGAGATTTTCTACCGACGAGACTTCAGGCACAGCAAGATGCTGTCAACATTGTCTGTCACTCCAAAACACGCAGTAACCCAGAAAACAACGTGGGCCTCATCACCATGGCCAAGTAAGATGATGTCTCCTAATCCAAATAAAAATGATAAATATCAATATACCTCAGGTAGCAATAATAACTCATTTTCGATGTTTATAGGTTTTTGTTGAGACAGTTTTATAGGTGTAATAGTGTACATTTAAAATAACAATGTAATGTTTTCAAAAATAATTATTCCAAATCAATTGTTTCCAACAATGCCAACTGCTTTTACTGTAACTGTGCTTGTAGTAACTGTGAGGTACTGACCACATTGACACCTGACACTGGGCGCATCCTGTCTAAACTCCACGCTGTACAGCCCAAAGGAAAGATCTGCTTCTGCACTGGCATCAGGGTGGCTCATGTATGTATCCATCTCAGTTTAATCCAATGATTTAGATACAGTTTTAACTTTGTGTTGTAAGGTCTCTAAGGGTTTTTTGTATTTTCGTATTAATTTGTAGCTTGCACTAAAGCACAGACAAGGAAAAAACCACAAGATGAGAATCATTGCTTTTGTTGGAAGTCCAGTGGAGGATAATGACAAAGATGTAAGTCTGAAATGTAATGTTTTAACACATTTTGCAAAGTCTATAAGTAATAATTACCTTTTTTTTTGGGTTCCTAAACCAAATATTTCTGTAGCTTGTCAAGATGGCAAAACGTTTGAAAAAAGAGAAAGTAAATGTCGATATTATCAACTTTGGGGAAGAGGTAAGAACATTTTGCTGCATTTTTACTAAATTGTTTTAAAACATGCCAAAATAACATTATGAAGTTATCATAATCTGTTTTTTCAGGAAGTGAATACAGAAAAATTGACAACTTTTATACACACTCTAAATGGGAATGAGGGCACAGGTTCTCACCTGGTCACAGTCCCCCCTGGACCCAGTCTGGCTGATGCACTGCTCTCTTCTCCTATCCTGGCTGGTGAAGGAGGATCCATGATGGGCCTTGGTGCCAGTGACTTTGAGTTTGGTGTTGATCCTAGCGCTGACCCTGAGCTGGCTTTGGTAAGCTGCAACATAACATTTTTATTAGAGGCATGGTCGGCAACTGTCATCAATGGAAAAAAGTTTCAAAGACTGCAGTGATAATATTGACTTCCAGACAGTTTAATCATTTTTCTGTTTTGAAGAATTTCCTGCTTAACATTGTTCTTATTTGTTTATTTTTATTTAGGCTCTGCGTGTGTCAATGGAGGAGCAGCGACAAAGACAGGAGGAAGAGGCTCGCAGAGCAGCCGCGGCCTCTGCAGCTGAGGCTGGCGTGCCCACACCCAGCGCAGACGGTAACCAGATTTTATTGACTTAGAAAGCTGTATTGACTAAATTAGTTCCTAGAATTGAATTACTTTTTTCAATTTTGTATCAGAATCAGAGGAGACCTTACTGAAGATGTCAGTGTCTCAGTCTGAGGAAGGTGTTGCAGTACTACCTGATTTCAGTAGCATGACAGAGGAGGAGCAGATTGCTTATGCCATGCAGATGTCTCTTGCTGGAGGAGGTGAGTTATCTTTAATTATCAAAATGTTGGTTTTGTCACAACAACAAAAAAGATTAATATGTGTTTGTTGTGAACAGAGTACAGTGAAATGGTCTCTGCTGCCATGGACACTTCAGAATCAGTCAAGGTTGGTTCTTCCTCAAATAATTCTCACAAACTGTAACATGACACAGTGAAATTATACAATATTATTAAATCAGGAAATGTAGGCTTAATTCATCACTGATTATATTGTTAGTTATAGACAAGCATAGCCATGCATAAAGCTGCATAGCTCAGGATGTGCTCCCTCTAGTGGTCTCAAAAGGAACTGTGCTTGTATTCATTTTTAAATTAAAATAGATTCCACTGTCTTTCATGGTTTCAAACACTAGTTTACTGCTTTCTCTATGACACGTCATTGTTCTTCCCACACGTTTTAGAGGAAACTAAACACTGTCATGTATTACTGTGAATTCCCTTCTAACTGAAACCAAAATGTATTTTTTATTGAAGCTCTGAGACCATAAAATCTTTTTAAAATCGTTTATTATGTTACAGCTTAACTTAGATTTAGCCTCAATTTTATACTGATTATATAAGACAGCTACCAGCTTAGGCCATATTAAGGAGACACCTGATCCCAAAACTGCTTATCTTTAAAATCCTTTATCGTTTCTATAAAGGAGGAAGACGACTACGATGTAATGCAAGACCCAGAGTTCCTCCAGAGTGTCCTGGAGAACCTTCCTGGTGTCGACCCAAACAACGAGGCCATCCGAAACGCCATGGGCTCCTTGGCCTCCCAGTCAGGAAACAAGCCCGAAGGAAAGAAGGATGAAGAGAAGAAGAAATAACGAGCCAAGGACTACGGACACGGACTCCAGACTTTGACAATACCAACGCAGGACTATCAGACAGTTCTCACTGACAGTTAGTATCTTCATTTAAAGACACACAAAACATTATCCAAGTGTCCAGGAACCTAATCTACTACTTATAAACATGATATAGGCCTTTTTCAAATCTGCCTTGTGCATTCTTACCATACAGTTTCCTACCTAATGATATTACTGATGGATTAAAAAAAAGCAAATGTTAGACTTTTAAACTAAGTATTTACCCACTCACCTCTGCCATGTTTACTTTGTATTTTGCAATAAAAGTCATGTGTACAATTTGTCTATAAGTGTCTTTTTTTAAAAACATTAATTCGATTGATGATTTGTGGTCTTACGTTCTTAGGAGTGCACATTGTAGACTGGGTTCCGGTATCTGATACTGCCTCAGATTCAAATGTTCTGTCTCCGTTATGAAACCGTGTCCTGTGGATGCAGGTGAATAGTTTATGGCAGAAAACAAACATACGTGTCGTTGCTCAGCAGTCGCCGTTCATTTTTCCCAGCTCCAGCACATCCTGATAGGATGTCTCTAATCACGTGACAGGAAGCGCAGCATTTTCAGCTGAAAGCGAGCTTGGATAGTCGGGAATCGCATATCCAGGTAAACAATCAAACTCCATGATATATTAAAGCAAAGCCCCAGTCCCGAACATTAATTTTCCGACATCGTCGACCCTTCCGTCAGCGGGTTGATACTGTCGGATACTGCCAGCCGCTGCCGGTGGTTTTTTTAAACGGTGGAGCGCTAGCTAGTTAGCTAAATGACCCCTCTGTCTTGGCTGAAGCTCAGCGGCCAGTTTAGCCTGCCTCAGTCTGGGAGGAGGAACAGCGACAGCTCAGAATAAAACCCAGGCTTGTTGCCTGGTAAAGGGCGTTCCATTCTTACGTAAATAGTCACCACTGCAGTGTTTTGGCGTGATGCTCCAATAAAGCACAGTCCACCAGTCCCTGTACAGCATACTGTATCTATCACTAAAAAGGGGATTGGGTGCAAAAAAAAAGGCGAAGCTAAAATGCTAAGTGGCTAACGGAGATGCTACGCTGCAGGGTCTGTGAAGCTTGGCTGCATTGATAGCGGCAAGCTAGTCGGATGAAGCGTTTCTGGTTGTATATGATTATTTTTCTTGACAATATGATATCGTTAGCCTGCTATCGCTGCTTAAGATATTTCGGAAAAGCGTTTACCTGTTAGATTCGGTTTTTTTTATTTCTGGGCAAAGCAGTGCCCATCATCACAAATGTTGTGTTTGGAAACAGCAATAGAACCAGAGGTTAACCAGAGGTGTGATAATGCACTACAGCTCTGGCGGTTGACAGTTCCGTGCTTGACATCTGTTTGACCACATGTTCATTAGAATCACAGTTAACTTCATAATCAACAAATATAGCACTTTGCTCAGCTGAGATTTTTTTTTTCAAATGTGCTAATAGAACAAAAGCTGAAGAATAAATAGACATCCCAGTACATTTTTATGCCTAAAGCTTATTTTTCTCTGTTTCGCAGGAGTTGATCCCGGTATGGGGGACATGAAGACCCCAGATTTTGATGACCTGTTGGCAGCCTTCGATATTCCTGACATCGATGCCAAAGAGGCCATTCAATCTGCCCCCGAAGAGGCAGAGGGACCCCATGGAAGTGGGGGGGCACCACTGGGGAAGCAGGATAACGTGGTGGGCGTTGGGTCAGCCCTGAGGCCACCGAGTCCGTCTGACCCCCAGTCAGACACCTCCATTGTTAGTGTGATTGTGAAAAATAAAGTACGCCTGGAGGCTGTAGATGGAGGGGAGGGGGAGACAGATCAGGACCCCATTGACGTGATAGCAGGAGTGGATGTTGGTCCACGACTAGGGGCTTGTGCCCCTGGAGTGGCAGAATCTGAAGCTCTAAATCACAACGGTTTTGGGGCGTCAGGTGTTTCCACACCACTTCATCTCACCCAGACCCAGTCTAATGGAGCACCTTGGGCAATGAACACACCAAAAGTGACTTCAGAAGTAACAGGCGCCACCAAGTCTCATAAGCAGGGTGGAAATATTTTCAACAGACTTAAGCCCCTTGTGGCACAGGGCTCTGGAGATCCAGTGGGCCGGGCCAGAAAGATGCAGCTTCTACAGCAGCAACACCAGCAACAGCAGGACACAGGCCAAGAGAGGGACAGTGTCAAAGCATCAATACCTTCATCGTCCTCTTTATCAACAGGGTCACTGCCTCATGCTGCAGCTGGGCCTGTCGGACTTGCATCACCTTTCTTTCCCCCCTCAAAACCTCTACTTCCAACATCACCTTCTGCCCTCTCCTCACACCCGCTGCACTCCTCTCAGCCTTTTAACGGAGGTCCCAAAAATAACTCTGCTGGGTTTCAGCACCAGCAGATGGAGGAGGAGGATTCTGACCCTGATCTAGGGAGTCCTCTGGTGATCCAGGAGACCCCAGACTCCCCAACTTGCACTCAACTGAGTCAGCGTTACAAGTCTGACTCTGCCTCTACCCCACAATCCTTAACTTCGGCTCACCCTAAATCTGGAGACACTCCATCAGGAGCATCTCTCGCATCATCTACTCCTCAATCTGGCTCAACCGAGAGTCCCCAGTTGGAGGAAAGGAATCCAGAACATGTCATAGAAGAAAGAGACTCCCCAGAGAGTCCTGAACCTGAGATACCAAAATCCACTGCTCAGGCCACAACGAAAAGATGCTCCAGCCCAGCAGTGGCTTCAACTCCACCGCCTCCAGAGCTGCGGGAGCCTAAAGAAGAGGAGGAGGAGATGGAAGTGGGGAATGGGATTGACAGGCTTGTGGATGATAAAGCTGACAAGGGTGAAAATACAAGAACAAGTGAGGACAAAATGGATGTGGACGAAGAAAAGTCCAAAACAACGTCTACTGGTGGAGGAGAAGCAAATGTCAGTGCATCTGGAGCTCCATCCCGACCACTGAAGGTCCGAATAAAAACCATCAAAACCTCCACAGGGGGAATCACCAGAACTGTCACGAGGGTAGCTCCTAAAGGAGGCGCTGCAGGGACAGGTTCAGAGTCAAAAGCTCAAAGTGGAGAGCGCAAGATAGTAGGAAACAAGACTCAGAAACTTGAAGGTTCTCCTGGTCATACAACAGCATCATCACCCAAAGTAAGTGCTCTCAATGCTCTGCCGGTGTCCACTCTGGCTGCCAGCAGTGTCATGCTCGCTGCTGCCACAAAGGTCCAAAACAAAATGGCTGCTTCTGATAAGACCAAGGTGTCTGCCACCGCTGTGAGCATCACAAAATCTGCTGCTCTCCCCGCAACCCCTGCTGTGGCTTCCTCCCCCAAGTTCTCAGTTGCTGCTGGCGGGATCAGTGTACGCACTGCTACTAATAAAGCCGCCAACGGAGGCAGCGGCACCCTGTCGCCAAACAAACCGGCTTCTATAGTAAACAGCACAGGCGCCGTCATCTCTCGCAGCCAATCAAGCTTGGTGGAGGCTTTTAACAAAATCCTCAACAGTAAGAACCTCTTGCCGAGCTACAAGCCAGACCTGTCGGCGCCCCCGCCTCCAGAGTGGGGCCTCCCACTCCCCTCTACAGGGTACCGCTGCCTCGAGTGTGGAGACGCTTTCGCCCTGGAGCGAAGTCTGGCTCGACACTACGACCGTCGGTCCCTTCGCATTGAAGTGACCTGTAACCATTGTGCTAAGAGACTGGCCTTCTTCAATAAGTGCAGTCTGCTGCTGCATGCCAGGGAACATAAGGAGCGTGGCCTGGTCATGCAGTGCTCACATCTGGTCATGAGGCCTGTCACTGTGGAGCAGATGATCGGACAGCAGGACATAACACCCATTGGAGGTGAGCAGTCAGTGCCAAAAATGTTTGTTATAATTCATGCTGTTCTTTTAACCTCTGCACCTGCTCAAAATGTCATTTCAGGTGTTATGCAACATTAGTCACCTTTATCTCAGATTAGGCAAAACCAGATGAAAACAAAGCAATAATATGCCATGGTATTTATAATAATTTAGATAATTTGGTATTTTAAACAAACGGATTTAACCAAATGTCATTGTTACAGTAATATAGAGGATAAGAAAAATCAAGAAGCGGCCGGAATATTTGAGGCTACGAATTCTAAAAGGGATTTGAGATCAACGTGTAAAAGTCTAAAGGTTGATCACAATAACTATCGTTATTAAAAAAAACAAGGTTCAGTTTGAATTTACAGAACAAAATCTGAATCTTTGTCCCTAATTCTCTGGTGACCCTGTTCCATCTGTTTTGATTTCCCATGTTTGCCTGACCAGGCCTGCTCTCCTCTTCATCCTCCTCTCCTCCAGTCTCCTCTTCCTCCTCCACAGCCAGTGGTCCTGCCGCCTCCTCAAACTCCAGCCCCCTGAAGGACTCCTCTTCTACAGCAGCATCTCAGCCGCGGCCCGTCCGCCGCGCACCTCAGGTTCCACAAGCTCTGATGCCTCTGCCCTGCAAGAAGGCCGAGGGGCTGCAGTACAACAACTTCAAATGTCCTGAGTGCCAAACACAGTTTGCCAGCAAGGCTGAGCTGGTCACACATTTCCAGCAGATCAGAGCTACTGCCAATTCAGTATGTCATAGTCGTAAGAACACAGTGTGTGTGTGTTGGTACAGCTGAATTTCCCTGGCACCAACTCATCTTTGTGTATTTTCCCCCTCTGTGGCAGACATGTACACAGTGCTCTCCACCGATGATGCTGCCAAACACGTGCTCCGTGGCTGCTCACAAGAGGATCCATAAACACAAGGCGCCCCACGTCTGTCCAGAGTGTGGAGGGACCGCCCCCCAGGCCAGTTTTCAGACCCACTTGGAGGAGGCCTGTCTGCACTTCGCCAGACGCATCGGCTACAGGTGTGTTGATGATCCAGCTGTAGGCTGGCCGAGGCAAATGTTGTTCCTTAGCAGTTGAAGTGTCATTTCCTCTTTTTTTTTGAGAAATTATAAATATTTTGTCCATTAAATCATTTTTACACTGGCTTCCAAAAAACTAATGGAATTGATGATTTTCTTTTCTTCATCCAGGTGCTCAAACTGCCAAGTTGTGTTTGGGGGGTTGAACTCCATCAAGTCACACATCCAGACGGCTCACTGCGAGGTCTTCCATAAGTGCCCCAGCTGCCCCATGGCCTTCAAGTCTTCTCCCAGTGCCCAGAGCCACATCAGCACCCAGCACCCGACTCTGACGGGGGGACAGGCCAAGTATGTAGAGTGAATGCTGAAAGTTGACACAGACTTTCAAGGAAATACATCGTTAACCTTTCTCCTGTAATTCCTCTTTTTTCCTGCAGGATGATCTACAAGTGTGTGATGTGCGATACGGTCTTCACCCAAAAACCCATGCTGTACATGCACTTTGACATTCATTTAGCTAAACAGAAAGTGCACGTGTTCAAGTGTCCTGACTGCACTAAGCTCTACGCCCAGAAAGGCTCAATGATGGAGCACATCAAGGTTTGTTCTCCAACTGAACACAAACTCTGTGTTGTTGTTGTTGTTGTTGTTCATTGTTCTTTCCAGTAAACGCGGTGTCAACAAAGGCTTATCTTAGATCAGCCTCAGATTGTTGTTGTGGACTGGTCGGAATAATAAACATTTAAAGGTGTATTTACATATTTATATGAATGTCTTCACCCCCCCTCCTCACTCAGACCACTCACAGAGGCCAGTCAGTCAAACCAGAGTCTGACAACAGAGGCCAGTCAGTCAAACCAGAGTCCCAGTCTGACGCGTCTAACGCTGCCTCAGCCCCGACCAGCACCTCAAGTCCCTCCGGCCTGAAATCAAAGTCGATCATAAAGCCTGACAACTCCGACGGAGAAGACTGGGGCCGCGAACAGGAGGAGGAGGAGGAAGAGGAAGACGACGAGGAGGAAGAGGGTGCGGACGATGACTACGAGGCTCCGGGGAACCGCTCCAGTGCTACAGGGGGCAGTGGTCAACCCAGCTCTCAGACAGAGTGGACCTGCCCTCAGTGTCAGAGCATGTTCACTGACAGTGACGACTACCTGACGCACGTGAAGATGGAGCACGGAAAGGTTGGACTTAACACACATCCCAGTTCAGTTTGAAATGGGGATTTTTTTTTGTGCTACATGGAAGTTTAATGTCATCAATCTGACCTCTGTCTCCCCTCCCTGACCTCTGTCTCCCCTCCCTTCGCCTCGCGTTGTGAAACCTCTTCAAAGTTCCCCTGTGGTATCTGTGGGGGGACGTTCAGCACGTCATCCAGCCTCAGACGTCACGAGCGTGTCATTCACGAGGGCAACAAACGAGTTTTCCGCTGCCAGTGAGTGCATCAGTTACATGTCTGCCTGTGATTTTTTTTTCATTAATATTACATTATAATTTTGGCACGTCTGTACTGAGTAAATGGACTCATGGACATTTGGGTGTCATTATTCGTCAGGTACTGCACAGAGGGCAAAAGAACCTTTGGCAGTCGCCTCCTACTGGACAAACATGTTCGGCTTCACCACAGAACCACAGATGGACAGGTGAGTCCACAGCTGATCAGTTTCATTATTTTTACCAAAATCATTCAAATAACAAAACAGCAAACCCACAGCAATGAGAAGGAAAACAGCAGCACATTGAGGGAATAAAATAAGAAGAAAAAAACACAAGACAATAGTAATATTGAAAAAAAAAAGACTTAGCTTCTTCTGTGTACGTCCAGAACTGCCACTGAATCCAGGCTGGTCACAAACTCAGACCCAGGTTTTCTCTCAGCTGCTGCAGAAACAGCCTTCATCTCCACAGCAACGTTTTTCCTCATGTTTTGATTTAAATAGTCCATGTCGTCATCAGGTCTCCTCTGAACTTCAGAGTTTTTTTTTTCCTTATAAACTGAGATGAACAAAAACAAAATGTCAGAGCTCGCTGTCAAATGTTAATAATTACAATGAAAAGAAAAATAAATAAAATTAAAGTTTCACATTTAATTAATTGATGAAGTTGTACTTGTTTATTTGGTTTTGTTTGTAGTTGTTATGCTTTTCTTTTTTTTATTTTACCAGATATTTAGAATTTCCTTTAGGAGCAAGGAGCGCTTTTTTTTAAGTTTGTTTTTTTGATAATCAAATTAAAAGTTTTGGTTCTCTCTCACCGTCTTCGCCTCCTCAGGGTCCACCCATGACCAGGAAACGTGCAGCCACTGGTGGAGAAGGTCCTGGAAGCTCCTCAGAACAGGACGGCGAAGGAGCACCAGCAGGAGTGAGAGTAGGTGAGGAGGAGGAGAACGCCACAGAAGACGGTGAGGAAGGTGGCGGTCCTGCCAAGAGAACCAGAGCGTCCACGGCTTCGACATCCCTGACCCCCGGCGAGTTAGAAGAAGACGACAACATTTTCCGCTGCGTGCCCTGCGGCTTCTCCACGGAAGATGGCGCTGAGTTCCAGCGCCACATCCCCCAGCATCGTGCCGACAACGCATCATTCCAGTGCCTGCAGTGCGGCGTCTGCTTCGCCTCCGCTGGCTCCCTCGCCCGGCACCGCTTCATCGCCCATCGCGTGAGGGAAACCCAGAGCGACACGGAACGCGGCACCACCCGCCCTCACAGCCCTCTGGCCGGCTCTCCTGCCGTCTCCCCTCAGGGGGCGGCCGAAGATGGAGACGGGAATCTGAGCTGTAAGGTGTGTGGCCGACGCTTTGACAAAGCCTCGGACCTCAACACCCACTTCAGGACCCATGGAATGGCCTTCCTCACCGCACACAAGACAGACAAGCCCCAGTAGAGACAGGGCAGATGCTCAGAGACGGACGTAGAAGGAGCAGGAGCAGGAGGTGGAACATGAATGTTGATGAACAGCTGCTTCCTCTCTCCTGGTTTTCTTTTTAGCTGCAGCAAACCCGTTCAAATCTGTAGCACTACTGCTGTGCAAATGTACCTGCATGTCTACCCATGTTCCTGTCACTAAAGTGAACACGCATAAGATAACAGAACAGCTCTGGAGCAGCCCCCCCTACCATCACCCCCGCCCCCCCTGAGTCATACATTTCAATATCAAACGGTCATTGAAATTTTGTTTCCATACATTTCATCCTGAGTGTAGCTTTTAATAAACTCACAAACAGCTTCCCACCCCCAGCCCCCCAACACCATGACATAATACTAATACTTCACTGTTCACCAGATACACATTTGTTTGCACTGAAGGAGAAATCAGGCATTTTTAACACTAAGTGCTGGCATTTTAATGGAAATAACATATAAACATTCAGTCTGTAATAGACTGAATTTTGCACTGATTTTTCTGCAACTACATGTACCCAAAATACCATTGCAAGTACTTCTTTGGTCTACAAAAAACCTGTAGTGTGAAGTACTTTGAGTGGTCGTCAGGGCTAGAAAAGTACTACACGAGTTCAGGTTATTAAAACAATCATGTGGGAATATGATGCTGTTGCTACAACAGGCTCAGACGGAACACCTGAGCAGTTCCGTTACTTCCTGTAAAAACAGTAGCTTTATACTGTTCATTTACTCAATTGAACATGTGCATTTTTCTGACCACGTTGCATAATATTTGTAATGATAGTTTGAGTACCAAACTAGCAAAACAGACCAATAAAAAAAATCTGGTAATTTTGTAAAAATCAGGCTTTTTTTTAACCAACACTACATCCTGCCTGACTTCTCCTTCCTGTGCTGGAGTTCTTCTGGCCTCAGATCAGTTCTAACAGCCTCTGCTGCTGAAACCGACCTGTAACAATGTTACACTCTGCTGCTGAAACCGACCTGTAACAACATGTGAAACATGACGAGGATTGTTTGTAGAATTTGCCACTGATATTTTATTATTATTATTATTATTATTATTATTTTGCTCTAATATTTATTTGTACAAAACATTAATTCTCTTAGTCATTTTGAGTGCGTTGCATCAAATTTTGTACGATTTCTTTTTTCTCTCGCCAAGGAAAGGTGTATAACGCAAACATTGACGAGGTCACAGGAGAGCTGTGACCTGTGTAGTGTGAATAACGTGTGGTGATGTTTATCGTGGCTCTAGGAGAGGTCAGGTTTCCTGCCTGTAGTGTATGTGTTATTAGAGTTTTGACATGTAAATACATATAAGTACACTAAAAAGAAAGCATTTTGTTTTTAGTAACTCGATATAATGTGAATACGTATAGTATTTGTACTTGTAAGGTTTAACCTTTTTCTCTTTTTTTCCAAGAACAATTTGAAGTTTAAAAGAAAAAACAAACTCCCTGAGGTAGCTATACATTGTAATTAAAGAACAGAGTGAGCGTGTGAGGGTCGTGTCGTCTAATCGTGTATGAAAATCAAATGTTTATCTCCTCAGATGCTTCTTTTTTATCTGCAGATCCAGTGCTTGCTGTACTCTTCATTTCTTTTGTATGTTCCAAAAACAGCCTTCGTGGTCAGGAGACCGTCGGTCGGATTGTTTTTCTGTTTCTCCTCTGGTTTGTATCTTTTATATGTCATGCTATCATATTTATATACAGTAGCTGAATATTGGAAAGTCTCATGTCCTTTTGTTTCCTTTCCTCAATGGTTGTGGTCTGCTTGCTGAAATGCCATACATTTGTGCCGTTTCAAAATAAATGTGGAAAAGATGACGTTTGGGTTCTGCTGTTTCTTAACATTCGTCAAAATGAATCTCTTAAATTAATCTGTGAGGTTAATCACGTCAGAAATAATTAAATAAAAACGTTCTTAGGAAAAGATTTCAACATCTACACAGTCACTGTAGTTATACCAAATATTTATGTCAACAAAAATGGTGGCAAATAAACTTTCAGCCATCAAATTTCCAAGTTTCCAACTGCCTTTAAACACCTCCCACATCACAGGTGTGTTACACATTTACTCACGTTTGTCGGCCGTCACATCGGGATTACATTAAATGCACAAATGTTTTTTTTTTTATATATTCTTGTCAAGCGTGGCTTCTCTTTCAGTGCGAGGTGTTTTTCTGGCGGCCTGGCTCCACCTCCTCCAGCTCCAGCTCCAGCTCCGTCTTGTCCTCAGTGACCTCCTGACACGAGGCCTGGGCCTCAGGAGGAGAGGGAGGATGGTGGGCTTCAATCAGCAGCTCGTAGATCAGCGTTCCCAACAACGCCCCCACACAGGGAGCCACTAACGGTACCCACCACCAGCCTCCTCCCGCTCTGCAGAAACATCAGCAAAACTTAGGAAAAGAAAATGTGAAGAAAAGACATTTCTTTTAAAAAATGTCAGAAACCTGAGAGAAAGCACTCACATGAAAACATCATTTCCCCAGCCGACAAGGAAGGTGAACAAACGAGGCCCGAAATCCCTGGCCGGGTTGATGGCGTAGCCACAGTTGGAGCCCATAGAGATGCCGATAACCAGCACTACTGATCCCACGAGGGCAGGTTGGAGACCGTCGGGGACATAAATGTTCCTCTGGTCCCCGAGCGCCAGGACGCACAGCAGCAGTGCAGCTGTGCCGATCACCTGAGACACAGGTGGAGGAAAAAAACACAACAGGCAGATATGAAGTGACTGAAATGACAGTTTTGTTTTTGTAGTGAAAAAGGGTTCTGTGGGTTATTATTAGTGGTTCTGTCTCATCATTAGTTTTTTCTGTCTAATTAATATTAGTGGTAGTAATAGTAGTCTGTTGTTGTACTGTAGTAGTCTGTTGTTGTACTGCAGTAGTACTGTAGTAGTCTGTTGTTGTACTGTACACACAAGATTAGTAATAAATATTTGCTAGCATCCAATACCTGGTCCAAGAAGCCTCCCCACAGGCTGAGGTAATCAGCTGGGTATGTGGCAAATATGGCTGCCGTGGCGTTGGGACCTGACACGGTGAGTGGACCTCCACTGAAGGCATGGATGGCATCTACAGGCCTCATCATCAGAGCAGCAGCAGCAGCAGCAGCAGCAGCAAACGAAACATAAAACCAAGATTCAGCATCACCTCTGTGGTCGGTTCTGTCGGGATATTTCAATGTCACTTACCGTAATACTGCAAATAGACTGTGGCTGCAGCCAGAAAGGCTCCAATCAACTGGAAGACGGCGTAGAACGGCAGCTTGAACCACGAATGTCTGCCCAGGACACACAGGCTCAGGGACACAGCAGGGTTCAGGTGGGCGCCTGAGGACAGGAAGCAACAACGACCTGAGTCTGAGCTTCATGTTGGGGACGACTCGGGTTAGAAAATGTGTTGGACACAAGAGGCTTTGGTGGAAAGGGTTGTTTGTCTTCTTCAGGGTAAAAAGTAACTTCACCAACATTGGACAGAATAATAATAACAATACCTGAGACTCCATGGGACACAAAGATGCCAAAAGTGACTCCCAGAGCGTAGCCCAGGTTGATGGACAGGTACTGTCCCATCGTCTCTCTGGTTGTGGTCACTTGGGCAACAGCACCGCATCCAAACAGCTGTGAAGACAGGAGGAGGAGGAGGAAGTAAGAGAAGATGACAAGGCACAGTCCATGACACTGAAAGTACTTGTAGTACTACTTATTTTTACAATTTGGCTTTGGCTTATGAATAATCTAATAATTTTATTAAAATAAATTCTCTCCAACGTTTACTGGTCTCAGATGAACACAGTTCTTCTTTGCTAAATTTATTTTTGAGAACCATTGTTCGAAGACAAATGTAAATAAATAAATATATATTTATATATACACACACATATAAAAATAGAATATAAATATGCATTTATCCCCAACCCTGAGTCCACTGACTTCATCAAACCTGATTTCTGTGGAAGCCGTTTATGATGTGAGCTGTAAAAGTTGGTGTGTTCACATGTGCTTCGATGAAGCAGCACGTACACAGACAGACACACACACAAATAAAATGTAGTAAAGATAAACAACAACAGTCATAGATGATGGGCTCCTGCACCAGACCCCCCCCCCCCCACACACACACTGTCACACACTGCTCTGCTCTCTTCAGTCCTCTTCAGGCCAAAGTCCTTGGTTATATACTGGAAACATTCACTCACTGCAATACTTTTATGTCACTACTTCAAATATGAATCAGAACCTATAACTTAAACAATTACTACACAAACTATAAACTATAAAAATACAAACTTTTACAGCTAATGTTGGGAGGAGACCACATTTAAAGACCTGTGGACATTTAAAAAACAACATTTTGTTTTCTGCTGACCTCTGTCTTCTCAGGCGTCTACACACTCACCATCATGACGTAGACTCCCAGACCTTCAGCCAGACATTGTCTGAGCAGCTGGTTCCTGATCCGACACTTTCTCAGCAGCCTGTCCATCACTGAGCGTCCTTCCTCCTGCTCCGTCCACTGTTCAGTGGTCAGATGTTTGGCCCCACGACCAACAGGTGGAGGGGACCTGTAGTGCAGTGCACCTTCTGCCTGGACGAACACAGTGTGCTCTTTCATACTGGAGCAGTCAGCTGCGTCACACACTTTATGACCAGACTGAGGAGCTAAAGCAGACGAGAGTGACAGGACACCTGACTCAGACCTGAAAACACTCACAAAGACTGAGGTGCTGCAAACTAATAGTAGCAAAGAGTACAACATAGTACTGCAGCCTACTATGACATACTACAGACAGCTGCAGATGTCCACAAAATACTACAGCCTGCTACAGAGTACTTCAGACTGCTGCTGCTGCTGCTGCTGCTGAAACTCTGGTTTGGTTGTTGACCCACCTGCTGCTTGTTGCCTCTGATTGTTCCTGTCGTTTGAGTGGATTTCTTCTTCTCTTACAAGTTTCCACAAAACATTGAAGTCACATATTTATACTTTGTTTAAAAAGAGTAAAAGGTTTACCGTAGTCTGCCACCTGTTCTGCAGGATAGAAAAAAAATTAATTAATTAGTAGAAAAAACTATCCGTTAGCTGCATCAAAAGGCTGCTAAGGTAAATACTAACTGTTAAACAGCTAAAGCAGAAGACAAATTAAAGTTCAACAAATATAAGCCAAAGAATTATGTAAAGTGACTTCAAATGTAGTAAAATGGAGAGTTTCTGAGAGCTCTTTATTATATCCTTATTTTTTTAAAACAAAAATGGTTGACAGCTTTTCATGTTGTGTAGTATTTATTTCAAGCTTCCTTTGCCTAAAAATGTGCAATATATTCCTCTCAACATTTCACATTTTGTATTTAAACATCACCAAATTATTAATATTATTGTCATTATTACCATTGTTGTTGTTTGGCAGTGTGGTAATCCACAAAGAACATCCACGTATTCAAGGCCCAGTATTGTTCCTCCATTTTGACCAAATCAGCCGTTTTTATTTTTTAATTTGATTTTCTACAGAATATCGCCATCTACTGGTCACTGATAGGTAGCGAACTTAGCTTTAGCTTTGGTTACGCAGATATTAAACGGTCACGAAATTGTTAAACGTTGAGATATACACTTTTTGTGAGTTAGAATTGTAATTATTCATCGTAATTTTAATTTAATTCGGTTTTCTTCTATCGAAAGATACCTATTTTATTCATGTTCCACAAGGGTACTTTGGCGGAGTGACACGTTTTATGAGTAGATTTTATCTAGAAATGCGGTCGGTTGTTTGGTTTAGCTCCGCCAACAACAAGTTCTGGCCAAACGTTTGTTAGCAAATTGCGCCCTCTTCTGTCTGAAGTCCGCTATTGCACTTATCAACATGTTCCCGCCAAAGCGTTAATGTATGCAATTGCTTCCTTTTGCCACCAGAGGACCTGACGTGTGGCCGGAAATTGTTGTTGGCGGAGCTAAACCAAACAACCGACCGCATTTCTTGCTAAAATCTACTCATAAAATGTGTCACTCCGCCAAAGTACCCTTGTGGAACATGAATAAAATAGTTATCTTTTGAAAACCGAATTAAATTAGAATTATGATGAATAATTACAATATTTATTCAAAAAAGTGTATATCTCAACCTTTAATAATTTCGCTACTGTTTAATATATGTGTAACTAAAGCTAAAGCTAAGTTCGCTACCTATCAGTGACCAGTAGATGGTAGTATTCTGTAGAAAAGAAAAAAAAAAGAAAAAACAACTTATTTAGTCAACATTTAAAATGAACAAGACATTCTCTTACACTATATACATTTTTCCCTAAACAATTATCAAAAATTAGTGAAAATCTGCCACTTTTAATTATTTTTTAAATAATTTCTGCGACTCCCACATTATTTTTCCACACAACTAGATCCCAAAAATAAAATTAATCGGAAACAACAGAAATAGTCAAAAACACTAACCAGAATATGGATCCACCTGTAAAATATTCACCAAAAATGCTAAAACTACGCCAGAAATTAAACAAAAAACGTTATATTTTACTATAAAAATAACTATAAAAATAAAATAATTTAAAAACTCAAACAATTCAACAACCAGGTAGATATTTTCATTCATGTATTGATTTTCCAAGAGTTCTTATGTCAAAACTATCAAAATAAAATCATGGAATAAAAATGGATCCATATTCAAACCATTTTTTTCTGCTTTTATGACTGAGCACAGCTGCTGACCTCAGGTTAAATGGTTGATGACGACTTGTTTATGTGAATATGACAGGCTTATATGTGTATCTGTCATGTTGTACCTTAGTAATATCTTTTTATTCCGCATGTAATTCAGTTACAAACCTCAGCCAGACACACACTGTCGTTTATGACTGAGTGATAAGCCACTTATATTCTATCAGAGCTTTTGACGATCTCTGTTGCCAAGTGAGTTTTCATTTTCCTTTCATTTCCCTCAAAGTAGAAAATCAACAGAAACTGAAACAGGTTGAAATATATATTAAGATCTTTTATTACATTCATTGCACCCACATATGCACTCATCACTGTACAGGCAGATTCAAAGGTCAATACAAAAATAATATAATTGTGAAGTTGGTTCTGTTCCTATGTCTCTGTTCAGTCATAAACACAGCTTTATCACCGAGATGATGGTGTCAGACAGACACAGACTCTCTCCTCACAGTGGAAGAAACCGTTTATTTAATGTTTCAATGCCTTTAATGTAACTTTCACTGTCAGACACGCAGACCTGGACTCTTTTTAGTTGATGATTTCAGATCCTTTGTCGTGTTACAGAAAAACTTAAATCACTCATACGCTTCAAAATGACACAAATGCTAATGTGTTCAAATCTGAATTTGTAACTTATTTAAATCCTCCAAAGAACTTGGAAAATATGGAGTTGTCATCCCGCATATCTGAAAAGGGCGGTTGACCCCCTGTAGGGAAGAAAGAGAGAATTTTATAAAGTTAGAAATGTCCAGAATCATCCAGGGAGAGGAAGCAGATTTACCATTAACCTGGTAAAACAGGTCCTCGTTGACTGTCTGGTCCTTCCAGGCTTCCTGGACCTGAACGTGTCACTGTGGTTTCCTCGTTGCCTTGGCCGTCTCTGACTGTTCTCCTCTCTTCTACTGTCTGCTCACAGACAACACAGGAGATTTAACTGATGATCTCAAAAAACAAACCTGCAGTTGAAGAACATTACAACTACATGTGATGTGAAAACCATCTTCTCTCACCCCGTCTGGTTTCACCACCTTGGTGACAGAAACTGACTGGAAGAATGACCTCATTCTAGGCTGGGGTGGCTCCTGGCCAGCAGGTGGCGCCAGAATCTGATCCAGACCTCCAGAAGAAACAGCAGAGTCCAGATCTGACAAGAAGAAGAGGTCACAATGTTCTTCATCTTCACCAGGTTTTTACATCATTATAATGAAAACAACTTTAAGAACGTCTCTCACCTCTGTCTTCTTTTTGCTCGTCCTCTGGAGACTTCACTACACCTCGTCTCCAAATATCAGGAAACTTCCAGGATTTGTAAGAAAGATAAAGAAAATAAGTCAGAAGATTCTCCCCAAACTGTTCTAGCTCATCCTTAGCTAATCATTTAGCAGGAGTTTAACTATTTTTATGAAACAAAATATTTGTGCCATTAATTAATTTTGGTTAATTATAGGATATTGTAAAACCTGATTTATTTATCTGTTCAAGAATTTGCAAATAATTATTTTAGCTTTTGTGAAATAATAAATTAGGAGCAGGTGACGCATTTTAAATAATTTCTATAACAACAAACATGTATGCATTTCTATGACAGAAAAACAACAGTGTGATCTAATCAAATACCTTAGAAAATGGGAAGCCATCGTGCCTGGGTTCTCTGGACGGACCTGGCTGAGGCTCTTTCAACATAAAGTCTCTCAATGGATTTCCACTGGATCCTTCACTTCCTACATCCTCACCTCTGTCCTGAGAAGACGGTGGCATGATACTGGGAGAGCCTGAGGGACAAGGGACAGTCCAAATGAATGTGAAGCTGAGAACAGAAGGTTGTCATATCAGTCCATACAAAAGAACACACTGTCCACGCTAAGAAAGGACTTTGTTTACATTTTCTTACTCATAGTCTTTACAAAAAAGTTTATTTAGTTGGTTATCTGCATTCAGACCTCCAGGATGATAATGATTACGTTTTCAAAAACGATTAGTAAAAGTACAAAAGATCACTGTATCGATACCAAAGAGTCCAGACTCTGGGTTTTTGTTCCAGTGGCCCATCTGGGAAAATATCTCCTCCATTTCCTTAATAATTTGGCCAAACACGGGAGGCTCCTGGATCCTCATCCCGTTCGGGCCCATGCTGAATCCAAATCTCCAGGCGCCGTCAAAAGGATCCTGAGGATCCCCCTGGTATCCATCGTAGAAGAATCCATCGTCTTCTTCTTCTTCCTCCTCCTCCTCCTCATGAATCATAGTGTCGAAGAATGGGTCCCTGAATTAAAGCCATATTTATTACTAAATCCGGGTCCTCAAAACACTAAATATGATTGACCTTCATGTTTGTGTGACGTCTGAATTATTAGCCATCATGTAGTCAATACTCTAACGCTACAACAGTAACACGTCTGGCACAAGTACCTTCCATAGTTCCACTTATGCAACTTGTTAGCTTAGCTTCGATAGCTGCAACCACAAAAACGTTAAAAAAAACAAACTCACCTTCGGCCATGGCGGTGGCCTCCAGGAACACCGAAAAAACCACGGAATAAGTCGAAAACACTCATTGAATGACACCGCTATGTTTAAAACTATATCATACCGAGAAAAGAATTGTACTTAGATGATACAAGTCAATGTCCACATACGACAACGCACTTGTCAACAGTGTCGTAAAGTGTTCCGACTCAATCCATCTGACGACATATGTCGTAACGATAACGTTACCGTAAAACCTAGAAAGAAAACGCAGCAGAATAATACAGTGCTGCACACACGATTATTTGCATTTTCTGTATTTAGGAGAAACATGAAAAAACAAAAGAACAAATTTAGTTTCTTAAAAGGCATTCACATCCAAAATGATGAAAATGTCTTTTTGTTTATTTACTTAATATTTATATATTTTTACAAAATAAAAAAAATATGAAACAAAAAGCTAACAAGTCTGCAAGGATTTGAAAAGGAAAAAGAGAAAGCCATTGAACAAACAGTGACTACAGTACTTGTGTTTTTTTATATATGTACAAGACAAGTTTATCCATTTAAATTTTTTTAAAACGCACAGTACAAAAAGAAAAAAAATTCACTGACAAAAACCCATAGCACAATTCTGTCCATCATTATTCAATTTGTATTTTCCATACAATGACTGGGGGACAAGCAGACTGGGTGTGTAATTAACTTGGAAATCATCTCTTGCAGAAAAGCAAAAATCTTGATGCAAAATTATTTATAATGTATGACAACAGTTACTGTACAAGTGATGGATCATGAAAAAAAAAAAAAACAGAAAAACCCAAAAACCTGTGCTAAGTTGGGGGGAAAAAAAAAATCAACAAAGCACAGTACACAACCATGGCCCCCCCGCCCCCGTGTGTACAAACATGCACGCAGTCACATGACAAACACACCTTTCCTCACAGTCTGATCCAGTGAGCTTGCTTATGTTTTTATATATCATTATATATCTATATTTGGTAAAAAATAAACTTCACAACTCTACTGACTGAAAGAATTGTTTCTTCAAACTTAAAATGACATAAAAATGAGAAGGAAAAACATTGGACAGCAATTGAGCAACCAAGCTACTGCGTTTGTGTGGGATGGAAGGACATTCCACCTAAGAGGAGAAGCAGAGAGATGAGGTGAGAACTACAAAACCAGTCTGGCTCCCCCACCATCAGATTTCACTTCATTCCTCCCCATCGGCAAGAAGGAAAGAAAAAAAAAGACCAAATAATAAAGAGGGGGAAAAGACCAGAGAAGCACAGCGAACGTTCATTCTTTTAGAAAACAGTTCTATGTTACATACATTTCAAAGAAAAAATAGGGGTCGGGGCTTGAAGATTAACATGAAACAAATTCCCAACACAGGTGGTTTGTTTTTTTCCCTCTCTCTAAACATTAATCATTCTGTCCTAGAACACTTCTGTCCCCCCCACTCACATGTGCGCCACATTCGTGCATCTTTATTTACTGTGCTCTCGGCTCAGCACCTCCGCCGACCATGATCGGAGCTGCAGGAGTGCTGGGCCAGGAGTTAGGGGAGGGAAAGCTCGGCAGGAGGAAAGAGGGAGGTTTTATATGAGGAGACTGCAGGAGGAGTGACCGTGCGGTCACCTCGTCCTCTGAGCTTCTGTTAACAGCGGGTGTGAGTGGGTGAGTGAGTTGTGGGCGGGGCCTGAGAGCCGGCGTTAGTTTGTTCCCCAGTTGTAGCTGTTGTAAGCCGACTTGTTGATCTGGGACTTCTGTTGGATGGAAGCGTTCTGGCTGCGCTGTCCACTGCCGCTCTGTGGAGAAGATGAACCAACAGTCAAGTCGGTTGATTATACGAAGAGTTCTTACGCTTTTTACCAGCTCTTGTCAGAGATTCAGTTTTTCTGAATCTCCAGAACACCAAAAATATGTTTATACTCCATGTTGTTAGTAGTACTTTCAGGAAAACTGTTTCGCTTAACTTGCTAACGTCAGAAGAACATAGCGTCCCTATCTTCCCTCCTTGAATTTCAACATCAGTTTCTATTTTTCCACCAGGTGATGTAGCAGCGTATCAGTTCATGTCAGACACTGTGGGTCAGTCAGACTGCATCCGGTGTTTACTGCTCTGGTTGTTCTGGCACACACTGTTCCTCCGTATCTCCATGAAGATGTGGGACAGGGTCAACAGACGTGCCAATACATGTATTGACTTGGAGAGTGTTCATAAGTTCACTTTGACATTAACAGTCTATTTATATTCAATCAATTTCTTGGATATCTTTTTTCAAATATTTCTTATTTCTCTCCATCACTGAACCACAGATAAGTGAGCGACTGTGGGAATGTTCTACATGTGTTTAAAGAGACAGCTGAGGTACCAGAGGCGACCAACAGATGGAGTGACTTTCTAAAGCACAGACAAAAATGTGACCTAATAAATCAAAGTTAATCAATAACACAAACAGTTATACAGAAATACCAAGATACCTGTCCATCCTGTTGGAGGTGGTGGTGCAGAATCTGAGAATGGGGTTGTTGGTGCGGTGCCAGGATGTGCATGAACGGGGGCGGGGCATATCCAGCAGCAGCCGGGGGGTTGATGGGACCACCGCTGCCTAAGGCTGAGGGCAGGCTGAATGAAGCTGCAGGTGTGCCAGCGTGAAAACCCTGCTTCTCAAACGACTGCTGCAGAGAGTGACAGAAATATACAGTTACTTCAAACTCTGGCCAAATAAAAGAAATTCCTCAGAAATATACAGTTACTTCAAACTCTGACCAAATAAAAGAAATTACTAAATAAATAAATAAATAAAAATCACAGCTTACAAGAGGCCAGTGAAATTACCTGTGTCTTTGTGTAAACAGACCCTGAAATATCTGGTACCCCAGTGTTGCTTGATGTCACAGAGACTCCTGCAGAGACATGAACACAGGACAAAACACAATTAAATACATGAACACTTATTTATGACTAGAGGACACCGAGTCACAAGTTAAAGTAATATTTACATCTAACCTCATGTACTTGTAGTATAATGCCAACGTTCTGTACCATAAATGTAAAAGAGTTAAAGAATTACAATAAACTGAGTGACTAGGACGGAGGACGACCAGGTGATGTAGCAGCGTTTCAGTTCCAGTCAGACACTGTGATTCAGTCTGACCGTATCTGGTGTTTACTGCTCTGGTTGTTCTGGCACACACACAGCTGCCCTGTATCTCCATGGAGATGCAGCACAGGGTCAACTGTTGTGCAGAACAAACCTAAAAAACTAAAAAAATAATAATAGTTTTAAATTCCTGCCTGCATACGCCGTCTCATTGATTTATTTTGGTGGTTAGGGAATTTCCGGGTAGGAAATTTACATGACTACAACCAGCAGGTGGCAGTAGTGTAATTCTTAGAGCAGTTCCATTATTACAATCAGAATTACATTACATTTTTTAGATTAAATATTAGATCGCACTGAGATCACTGGGTTTATGAATAGATTTAGGTAGATTTGAATTTTTAAATTTAGATAATTTTTGCCAAGTGTAGAGTTGTTCTTATGTGAAAAGTTTGGACTTTTTAAACTACCTTTATAGCATCCCCTGTAGGAGAGCCAGAGGGAACGTTTATATATACATTACCATGTTGTTAATAATTATAATTAATTATATCTCTCTACAGTTTTATATAAACATTTACACTCTGATATTTTTTGTGTAAGTAGTAATGGTTCTATTGAGTTGACAACATTTGTGTCCCTGTGTGCAGATGCAGTAGCTTCTTCTAAACCCAATCACATCTTCTTTGGATAAAGAGATTAATAAAGTAATAAAGTACAGGCTGAGCGTATGTTTTTAGGGTTTAGGAACAGACTAGAGTGAACCAGACTAAATGACAGGTAACGACATTACATTTTCTTCTTTGTGGTTTTAGGTGATAATTTACTGGCCTCCAAACCTGAACAAATTTATGAGGAGCATGAACAATTTCAATATCTGGAAAAAAAACAACATACAACTTATGAATGCCAAGACAAGTGAAGCAAGCAGCACAGAGTCAACAGAACAGCCTCCACCAGAGTAACTCATCAGTTTATGTGTTTAACGTGTGTGTGACTAAAATATATGACAAATGAGCCAGATCAGACTGATGAGTTAAGCTGGGAGAGATCATGAGAGACAGACAGATGCTGGTGAGACGAGACAGACTGGACTGTCTGGGGGAACATGGAGTGACAGGTCTTCCCACAGGCAGAGCTCATCAGCAACAGCAAAGAGAGGGAGGAAAAATGGTGGGTGATACACAGAGGAAAACCACGAGGAACAAGGGTTTCTCTTTTCCCCTCTGTGATAATTTGGCACGTGGCGGCACTCACCGACTCCGGGCCCGGTGACCGAGCTGGCTGGCTTGTTTTGTGCAGAAGCGGCAGCGGCCACGGCAGTGCCGTATCCGCCCTTACAGAAATCCCCACTCCCTGAAGCCTGGCCCACATCCTCATAGCCTGCAACAGTCAGACACACAGCCGCAGCCCACAGCGTTAGACACACCAGGCAGGGGGAAGCAGACCTGTCTCAGATAGTGTTTGCAAATAAATACATGGGATTTCTCTACCAACTGGACAGGTTTTACCAAATTCCAACAACCCAGTTGGTGTCAAGTCCTGCAGGTGGAGCCAGAAATCTGAACTTTGACACAAACTGCATTTTGTTCTATGGCAATTCCTGGCCATCCAGTACAGCCAGCAGGTCAGGTTTAACACTGACCAGCATTTGCAAAAACTATTTGAGCCAAGCCTGGGGGAAAAGAGGTGATGGAGGAAAGTAGGGTACGGGGCAGGCAGGGTGTGTGCATGTGTGTGAGGGAAAGTGGAGGTCGTGGTGGAGTGAGCTCAAGTTGAGTGATGGCAGAAAGCAGCAGATGGTGCAGCTTAGAACAAACAAGTGTTGCAAATGTGAGCAGAGGATAAAAATACACAAAGATAAATTGAGAGGTTGGAGTAAATTGAACAAGGAAATATTAAGGAGCTAAAAGCACATAAGTGTTTTATTTAAAAGATAATGGCTTATTTGTCTATGGTTTTTTTAATGGGTGTGTGTGTGTGCGCAACAGATGAGGTTAATGATAAAGCCCTTGATCTTAAAGGATCAAACCAGGTACGGAAAAAGAAGTTAAGCTTTGGAATGCAGCCCACATCACCAGATTGCACCAATTACACCACTTGTCTGTGCTTTCACTTATTGGACAGACCAGTTATTGACTTATATGCCTTTGAGTGTCATTTTAAGTTTGAAAATTTAAAATTATAACACATCGCAACTCAGACTGTCTGGAGTCGTGACCATGTATCCCAGCTTTAAGTGCAGCTCAAGCTAAGATCCCATTATGGATCATCAGTCAAGACACTGTCACGAGTTCATTTTTCTGTTGTTAGTGAGCAAGTTGATCAGTGTGGAACGGCAGATGACACATGACAGTAAAACATTCTGGAAGCATATTTTGGGTTCTGCTGCATTCTTGCTGTATCTGTTAGCAGTATGCTAACTATCGCTAGCACAGAGCTTTAGATACAACCCATAACTATAGGAAACAGTCCCAAGTAAAACAACAAAACATCTTAAACGCTGAATACTTTCTACAGGACCTTCATCCACTCCCTTGTTTTCTGTTTGTCCAAGAGCAACATGAAAACATAACTCCTTTTTATCACAATCTTTCAATAAACAACTAACAGGAAGGTCAGACAACTGACATTCATGAGAAAATAGCAAGACCCATATGAGAATATTCTATATTGCCTCATGACTGTTTTTGTTTTAAAAAAGTTATTGAGGGCCCAAACGTAAACAGGATTGATTCAATTTTAGAGGCAAGAAATTTTAAATCAACACCAGGTTATCGGAGACAAATGTTTATCCTCCATGCAAACGACCTCCAACAAACGTCTTCAAACAAGCATTGTTTTTGAACGCTTGCAGATGCTGCAGAGCTCTAAGGGAAAACTGCACTCCACGCCAATGGGAATTCAATGGGTTCATTGTGAGTATGGGTTAATGGTATGCTGGTACAATCAACAAGATCTGCGCAGCTCCTCTTAACATGCCATTTCCTTATGGTTAAGTGTCTCACCAGTGCTGTATCCATGGGAACCATAGCCACTAGCCTGCTGGAATGGAGTAGCTGAAGCGTTGACGCCGACATTCACACCATGCTGTTTGGAGGAGGTAGGAGCCACCTGAAGGGAAGCAAAGCAGGGGACATGAATTCATCTGGTCAGCTAGAAGTTTAAAAAAAAAAAAAAAAAGAAACCTAATGGTGTCTACTGAGGCAGCAGGATGGGGAAAGTTTTATATGGTTTTCTTACATGCAAGGAACTACAGACCAATGATAAGTGTATATACTGATGGATATTAAACACTACTTTCACCAATGTTAGTGAAATTATTAAAAACACAAAAACAATAAAGGTGTCTGGGGTCTTAAAATATAAGCAGATATGCAAACCAGGGTTAAATTTCCTGGAATTGTTATTTTTTTTGTCAAAAGAATATTCAATATAAACTCAATAGGAAGTTATGTGCATATGCATTGATTTAAAAAAAAATCAGGCAGGGATGAGGTCCAATCAGGATTAAAGTTAAAATTTAGTCATTGTCTGCCAAAGTTAACACTGCTGTTAACAACCGAAGGTTTTCTCACCGGAAACACAGCAGCGCCGTACTGAAAGGTATTGTGCAGGCCTGGCATGCCAGTGTAGTAAGGAAGGCTCGTATAGCTGTAGCCAGGTGGCAGCGCTGGGTTGAGGAAAGTTTGCTGTGTGGTGTGATGCGTCTGGGTCTGGTTCTGTTGTGTTTGCGCTAATGTGGTCGCTGGGGCAGGAGACGAGGCGTCACCCCGTCCAAACTTTGACAGATCGCCTGTGGAAAAGAGTAGTTTAAGGGCAATTGTACTGGAACAATGTTTCCGACAGGAAAATTAAAAGATATAACTGCTCACCAGAATAAGGGTTACTTGTCAGGCTGCCATCTCTTCCTGTCAGTGCTGTGGTGGGAGTTGCAAAGGGCATTCCATAATAGTCCTGGAAAGATTTTAAATAATGTATAAATTCATTTTTTTAAAGAAAATAATACAATCAAAGCTGTACATGTGCAGTTGTCTGTAGGAGGTACTTACCAGGGGTATTCTAGTCTGAAGCATCTGTAAGTCATCATAGCCGTACACCTGATGCTGGAACAAGATGTTTATAGTTAACCAATGTTAGTGTAAATGTAAAAAATAAAGTTTTACAAGAAATATATAAAACTGCATGTCTTACAGGGTAGGCGTGCAGTAATCCTGGAGCCATGATGTATGGGTTGGGCAGTAGAGGAGCCACTCCTGGTGGCAAGTTCGGAGGTGCTTTCCCTGTTGGAAAAAAAAAGAAAAAAAAAAGGTGAGTGATTTCTACCTTTTCCTAATTGGGCTGGTAAATACTGCACACTGTTTGGAGATCATGTTCTCAAAACAATGATCAGCTAGCCTTCTGGATAAAGTGTTATTAAGAAACAGTGACACATATAAGAAAAATGTTAATGTTAAACCATCAACCAATTATCACTAAGTACCTAACACTGGGTATGGTGAGTTCAAACATGTATTTCATTGCATCCAACCAAGCTCTAACGATTAAGCTGTAGTGGAGCAGAAGGAAAATGGTAATAATGGAAAAAAAGACCAAAAAACTCAGTAAAACCAGACAAAATTCAGCTGAGCTCAGACATTCAAGGAAAATGGTAATAATGGAAAAAAAAGACCAAAATTCAGCTGAGCTCAGACATTATTAACTTATTAATGATGGTGTCGATGGTGTCAACACTTCTTCTCAGGTATAATGATTTCATTCATTGGCAAATACCTTATTATACAATTCCACTGTGGCCTAATATAACAGTGCTTAAATAAAGAAAATGTACTATATTTCATTTTTTTTATCAACAGTAAAACTCAAACATTAAAATATGACTTATTATTTGTAACCCGTGTGCAGATTGTGGCTGCTGCTTCAAAGTGCAGCTCCAACAACAGCTGCTGCACGTTGGCAGGGTTTCTACGTAGCTTTTCTGAAAACCAGTTCCTCCATTTCTAACCTGAGGATGCTGCAGAACTGCGTGTGGATGAGGCAGAAGCTGAAGAGGGAATGACTGAAGCCGTCGTGGAGATTGACACTGTGTTGGCTGCTGCAGCCGGAGCGCCCATGCTGGCAGTGTTGAGGCCCATAGCCAGACTGCTGACAGCACTGAGGCCAGAAGGGGCCGAAACCGTGGCAGAGCCCACCGAGGAGGCCTGGGGTCCCCCGAGGGACACCTGTGCGCCGGCGACAGCCACAGAAGAGGAGGAGGACACCGAAGAAGACTGCACGGCTGAGACGGAGGAAGGGAAGGAGGAGGAGTGGAGGCTCGAGTCACTGTCGACGCTGGGATGCTATGAGATGAAGAGGAAGGAGCTGTCAGTTATGATGAAATTAAACATCCATTAGAGTGAAGCGTCGTCTAATGCTCCTGTCTGCCTTCACAGGAAATGAAGCCTTTTAAGTGCTCGGCGATGGGTGGGAGATACAGGCTGTCTCCTAAATAAGCTTGTAACAATGCTGTTTTTTCAGTCTGACTAAATAAATGTTTCAGGTACTGGGTCAGTGGTCTTGTACAGGGAAACCACAACACACAGTAGATCGATAGGGTTGTTAGGGTAATAAAAAGATAACCATATAAAAACCAACCAGTAGAGTTGAGTTGGACGTCCGGACTGAAGACGGAGGCTGAAGGCTGTTCTGTTGTGACGGGTGAGAGCTTGGGGGGGAAAAAAGGCAGAGATGATTAAAAGATTAAACGTAACCCGCTCTGGATAATACGCTTCTTTTTTATCTACTGGTTAATATTCCAAACCAACTAAAACTTTACAAACTAGCTTTCATGATTTTATACTTACTTGTTGTGTTGAGGAGGCGGAATGGTGCTTGGAGGCAAATCTTCACTGTGACCCAGGGCACTGAGGGACGCCTGATTGGATGCATTTAACAAGGAGGCAGGACCTGACCCGCTGTCTACCAACGTGCCCATGGAGGAAACGGATGCCGATGTGACTGAATCAGAGATGGATTTGACTGATACTGCAGAGCCTGCTGCAGCTGAGAAAAAAGAAAAGAAAAAAAAAGACGTAAATAATGTTGCTGCAGTTCTGTGAGACAAATGCCAGAGACAATTTAACAGAGCTTCAGAAACACCGTGCTTACCTTCCACAGATTGCGATGCTTGCATTGAACTGAAGCCATTCTGTAAAACCAACAATGAAGGTGAGCTCAGAGGTTTCTATGGAAACAGGCCATTGATAACAAGTTGAAGAACGCTGGGCTTTCGAAAAAACCTCATCAAGAAGCTTGTCTCATGTAACCACAGTTCAAATTCCATACAAGGAAAACAAGATGGAAGTAGACAGGAGGCACAAAATTTGTATTGTCAATGCTAAAATGGAAAGTTGAACTCTTACCTTGGGCTGCATGTCCTTCTGAGGTGAGGAGGAAACTGAAGGAGGGTAGCGGCGAGTCTGAGACGGTCTCTGGTCATAAAGATCTATTTGGCTGGAGGTGGAGAGAGAGGGAGTTGATTCAATAAAGAATGTAACCGCACTGACAGGACTCTGATGTGAGATCTGAGATCTGTTCTTATAAAAACTAAACTGACTATTAAACTGACTAGAAAGCGCTCTTTGAGGCTGTTGCCCTAGAAGCATGCAAATATAAATATAAGTGATGCCACACCTGTTTTAAGCACATGATCTATTTACACTGGTATTTGAACTGGTTTTGGATTTAAAATTTCACTGTTTTAGTTTTTTGTTCTAAAATGATTTACCTCTTGAAAATAACACAAAATGTTTTTTGGTGACCATGTAAATAATGTAAGTGATACATTCACTTTTGGGATGTTAAAATAGAAAACCACTTGCAATTTCCTAAACCAACCTGTTGGGGCTCGTGTAGAGACTGTTCTGAACCTGGTTGGCTGGTGTTGTGGTGGCAGATGTGGACTCGTACTCTGGGAGAACTGGTTCTGACCCAAACTGCAGTGCTCCAAACTGTAGATTTAGACCTGAAATATCGGTAGAACCAGGCATTTCCACAGCCATTGCTGGAATCTGAAGAAGATCAGAAGTACTTTATTAAACTGGACAAACAGAATTTCTTCTAGCGTAATTCAGATTCAGAAAACACACGACCTCTAACATTTGCGTAATTCAGATTCAGAAAACACACGACCACTAGACATTTCTTAATTACCTTTGTTGTGATAGAAGTCCTTTTCTTCTGATGTTTAAGTTTGTGTTGCTGCAAAGGCAACGGACTTGAACCCTGGGCATCTGACGAGCTCGGAGACACTTGCTGACCTAAAGAAGGGACTGCTGTCATCTTAGGAAGTGATGAAGCAGGTGGTGGCACCACATGGGGAGAGGACACTGTTTGTTGGGGTAAGGATGATGAGGGGACAGACGAAGGAGGCAGGCCTTTGTCCTGCAGGAAAACATCCAACATGGACGAAGTTGAGGTGGCGGTCTGATAAGGCTGTCGCTTAGAAAATGGCGAGTGGACCACGGACTCTTGCTGTGTCTTCATATCTAAACCAAGAATGATGGGGGAAAATGAGGATTAAAAGCAAGTTGAAAAAATGTTATATTTTTTGGTGTTATTACGTTGTTGTTCACATCTCACCATATTGTCCCAGTGAGGTGGCACTGGCGTCCCAGGATGAAGGAGTTGTGTTTGGGGGTCCAGTCTGAGGGTGCTGGGCTGCTAGCTGAGCCAGTGCTTGGGCAGTTTTATACTGCTCCAAGAACTGAGAGCCTGTGGTCCCTGTGCTCCCCCCTTTAGGGTCTCCCACATCACCAAAGCCCTTGCCTAGCATGCTGACCTGTAAGTGTCACCATAAAGATGCACAGTAATGTCCACCATGTCTATGAAGCTAAATTTTGAGTTATACTTATAAATACTATTTTTGACATTCATCCATATTTACAACTTTATCATTTTAATCAGTCACAAATAATAACAGCTGTCAAACACAAACTACCAGCTGTTATTTGTCTTTTGGTTCCAGCAATTTATCTCATGATGAATTGAATTAATACACAGCTACTTTGCGATTGATCAGATTCAGAAACCAGCTTTACCATGTTGTGCTGGGGGTAGGTGGCGCTGGATGTTGGTTGGGACAGCGGTGCCCCTTGTTTGGAATTGCTAAACACCAGTGACTGAGACAAGGAGGGGGGCTGGGTGGCCTCCATCGGGGGATTTTCTGTCTCTGAGGTGGAGGATGCCGGTGTCTTTCCCAGGAGAACAGCCAGGTCAATCCTTCAGCAAAGAACAAACATTCATTTGAAAACACACATCAACTACAACCATTTTTATCAACAAAGGCCAGCTTTAAATTGCATTTTGGTCTGGCTCTGTTTCCATGTAGCGTTAAAGTAAACACCTGCTGGATTATCAGAAAGAATGACTTAAGTCAAACACCTGGTCAGTCAATCAAATTGACACCAGTCATGGAGACTGAAGAAGAATGGTCTCATTTTGTGGAATAAGTGATGTGAATAATTGTTTGACACAGAAGAAACAAATCTTTGTACAGAAGTAAGAAAATATTTTAAATGATAGTATTTTAGAGTTGACCATATTTTAAAAAAAAGGTGCACCTAGTACACAATAAGACAACATTTAGCAGTACCAAAAAAGTAAACACTGAAATAGAAATGGAGAAGTGTAATCTAAGCAGGAAACAGCGTAAACCTCAATGCAAATGTAAATGAGAGTAAACATCAAGGTAACAGTAAAGGTCAGGTAAATGTAAAAAGTAAGAAAAGTAAACAGTTTAACTGAAGCGTTATTTTCTTCCTCTCAATCCCTTCCCGGAAAAAAAAAACCAAAAAAACAAATGATTGGAAACCGGAAAAAAACAAAACAAAAAAACAAATGATTGGAAACTGAGTCATAACAATAAAAAGCATTCACGACCCACCTCTGTCCTTTGGTGATGGTGACATTCTCTTGAGGCAGAGGCAAGGACGCCACACTGGAAGCTGTGAATATCTTGGTCTCTGAAAGCTGCAGAGAAACAGGGGAGGGGAAAATGTTAGACAGGTTTGAAGTTACAAAGGGAAAGTAAACAGGTAAAGGGAAAAAAAGAGGCAGGTTTCAACAGTGGAACTGAACTAGAATCCTACACAGCTTCTCAGAAGTGCTGACATTATTTTTAACAGCACGATTTTGGAAATGAGGTTTCAGACTGAAAACCACTCACATCTTCATTCCAGTCTTCAGTTCCCCACTCCTCTGTGGCAGTCCTCCAGGCTCCTATGAGTCAGAGATAAATGATAGATGATATTTTAGGAAAGAATCAACAGAATAGGGAATGAATAAAACAATTAATTCAGAGGTTTACCTGGAGTAGAGTCAAATTTGGGTGGGTAGTTTGTTCCATCTCCTGCAGAGTAGTCAAGCCCTGGAAAAACAGACAGAGGTCAGAGGCCATCAGTGAGATTGCATGCTTGATAACAGTCTCCTGTGTCTTGTAAAGGAAAACAAACATGTTCAAATGTGAGTCGACATTTCCTTTAAATTTTACCCGTTTCTCTCAAGCATATTGTCTTGACAGTGAACAGCTGCTTAGTTGATAAGATTAACGTCTTATATTGAGCAGGCAACCTCTGAAAATTAACTTACTGGTGGACTCCTCCAGCTCCACACTTCCTGTGTTGTTCCAGGTGCTGCCCCCACCGTAGTTTTCTTCTGTCTGAGTTGGCTCTGCATAGTCTGCAGGGTTGAAAGTTCTGTGGCAGAGATCAGACAAGGGTCTGAGCGAGATCAAGGGTCAAACATGGTACAGTAAGCAGCAGATTTGACAAAGAAAGCCAAAACAGTAACAACTTCATTTTGCATGTGTTACTTGTATAAGTGTACAGAAAAAAAAAACAATGTTACAGATTACATGAAGCAAAATACAGTTAAAGTAATAAGATCGTTTTGGTTGTCAGACCACAGTTCAATCAACAAAACCTAGAAATAAAGTGCATACAGTACTGCCCCCATAAAGCTGCCCACTGTTCACTTTGGTGATGGGTTAAAAGCAGAGGTCACATTTGGTTGTGTGCAGTGGTGTGCTGTGTCACAATAACAAGGAGTTCACCTTCCTTCCTCCCTTCCTTCCAAAACTTTTTAAAATATACTTTGTTTCTACGTTTATAAGTTAAACACAAATTAAACTTTCTAGTAACAAAAATCAATCTCATTCTGGTGGGTTGAGACTAAACTTGACTCTTTTCTTGAGACATGAAGGGTGGCACTCGCTTCACTCAAGAGAACACAGAAGTCATTTAGAGTGAATCAATAAAAGTCAGTGTTTCATTGTAGTAATATGGGAATGCTGGAGATGGTACCAACTTGTTAAGTTTCATCTCAAAATCACTAGATAGTGACAAACACTCATGCACCCAGAAAAAGCTGCCTCTAAAACCAGAAGAAATTATCATTTTAAAACAAAACAGCTCTGATTAAAATCTGATCCAGGGAAACAACATTAAAAAAGCAAATTTCTTCTTATTTCTGTATATGGCAAAATAATAAGATTCTCTTTCAGCTTTCACTTGTTGACATGGGTATGATGAGGTAAAAGTGGGTTCTGAGATGAAGAACTCCAGATGAGAGGTTGGAATTTGATATATTTCTATAAATGGAGAAAAACTGGGCAACCAAAAGCAGCCCACACTGTTCTATCCAACTGTCTTGTGTAAGTCCTTCCTTCTTGGATTAAGGCTCAACAATAGACCAGGGTCATGCTCTCTGGTGACCATGGCAACAGGTAAAAGTGGAACAATAGGCCTTCTGGTTTTAGGCAACAGGTGTTCTCTTACCCCATGCCCTGTGCCGAAAATCTGCCTCCTCGCCGTCCAGACACTCCTGTGGAGAAGACGGAGACAACTTACTTCAAGTTCTTATTGTCGGGGAAAGGTGTAATCATGAAACGTAAAAAAACAACAGAGAAATGTAATGATGTAACGAGTTAAAACTAAAAAAATCCTGACAGTTTACTAGATGAAAAATAAATATTTTACTGTAAAGCAGACCT